TCATAACCCATACCCTCAAACACGCATGAGTTCAAATGGGTGTGTTTTTGCCAGGCAAACACAGAGACCATGTATATTATTCTAAGCTCAGCAACATCCCTTTAGAAATGCTCTGATCTAGCTGGCAGTGGTGCCTGCCTGTAATCCCAGCATCTTGGGAGTCTGAGGCAGGAGGATTGAGAGTGCAAACACAGCCTCAGCAAAAGCAAGGCTCTAAGCAACTCAGTAAGACCCTGTCTCTAAATAAAATACAAAATTGGGCTGGGATGTGGCTCAGTGGTTGAGTGCTCCTGAGTTCAATTGCTGGTACTTGCCCCCCACACCCCCCAAAAAGAAATGCCCTGATCTGCATGTTTTTATGCTAATTATGTCCTCTTCCTTAACCTTTGTTTTGGGAAAATGCTGTCATTTTGTACACTCATTCAGTTATTTAAAGGGTCCTGTCCTTAGTTCTGGACTTCAATGGCCCTCTCACTGGTAGCGCCATCTTCTTCCTACTCCATTCATCAGTAACTGCATTTATAAACCCGGATCAAATTATACACATTGTCTGGGGGCTTATAACCATGTATGAGGTTAAGGCTTTTCAACTCAGTGCACCTTCAGTTTTCTTAGCTATAAAATTAGAGGGCTGTAATAAATTATTTCTGAGGTTCTTTCTGTCTCTACAAATTAGGTTGTGTTTCCAGAACCTCCTGCTCATTGTGAGGATGAAAGAGACTGTCCACATGTCTATTTGGGTCCAGCAGAAGCAAACACTGTCTCCACCACTTCCACTGTTGACCATTCCTTCTGTAGTTCATGCACAGCTCAACCCTCTTTCCTCTTGCTTTAGCTATTAAATTGCTGAAAACTTTGGGTTTTTTAAAATATGAAAACATTCTCATTATTTGGCTTCCCCAAGTTAAATCTCTTAGGAAAATGTTGTCGCAGATGCTAAGGTTTTTATTCTTGATCTACGGGCTGTGTTTTTAAAAGTCACTGGTTTTAAAATAACCTTTCTTTTTTTCCTTCTGAAGTCTGTTATTTGAATGGCCATGTGATTTTTACAGTGAAATATTTTCTGTAATTTCTCAGTATACCATGGTCTTTTTTTGTACCAGGATTGAACACAGAGGCGCTTAACCACTGAGCCACACCCAGCCCTTTTTATTTTTCATTTTGAGACTGGGTCTCAGTAAGTTGCTTACAACCTCACTAAATTGCTGAAGCTGGCTTAGAACCTGTGATCCTCCTACCTCAGCCTCCTAAGCTGCAGGAATTATAGGTGTGTGCCATCACACCCTGCATACCATGATCTTTCCATATATTTTTTTTTTTAAGATTTCTTTTATTTTATTCAACACTGTAATTCTTTTATTTCTTCCCTGGCCCTGTTTTAACACTAAAACAAGCAGCCTTGTTCCCTGCCTATCCTTGTATTTCTCACTGATCTCTTTCACTGCTCTAAAATCTAACTCTCTTAAGTCAAAGAATAGGACCAGGTTTGGATTCGGAGATCCTGTTTATCTGCCTTACTTTTAGCATTGTTTCTTGCTTTTAGGGCAGCTTACTGGGTCAGCATAGACACACCCCACTTTAAACAAAGAACAGGGCTTGGCTTATAGTAAGCATTCATAAATTGTGTGCTAACTGCATGAATTTGTCTCATAATCCCATAAACACTCATGAATTGAGAGGAATTAAGATGCTTAAAAATAAGAAGGGCCAGCCAGCTGTAGGGCTATAGACCAGATTTTAGCACCAGGCCTTGCTACAGTAAGGGGAGGGAGATCCTGTTCTTCATGCACATGTAAGGAGAACCAAACCAAGTCGGATAGGACCATTAGTACAGGATACAAAGTTACATATTAATTTCTTTTTATTTTTTTAATTTGATACCTGTGATTGAACCCAGGGGCACTTAACCATTGAGCCACATGTCCAGCCCTTTTTAATATTTTGCTTAGAAAAAGAGTCTTGCTGAGTTGCTTAGGGCCTCACTAAGTTGCTGAGGCTGACCTTGAACTCACGATCCTCCTGATCTGCCACTGTGCCCAGCTTATATATTAATTTCTAAAAACAGAACCCTTGAACTTTCTAACACATGTAAGCATGAGTTTCGTTGGCTAGATTGTGTGGAAGGTTTTCAGTCTCCCATGGGCCTATGCGAATTCTAGATGCTTATTGAATAGTTGCTGAATGAATGAATGAGTGGTCAAGAGTCTAACCAGAATCTGAAGGTGTGGAGTTGAGTAGGCAGCCTTGGGGGGGAGAGAGGAGATTTCAGAACTAGAGTCTGGACTGCTCCCCTCCTACCTGTATGATCTGAGATATGCATCTTAACTTTTTTTCTGAGCTTCTATTTCCTGCTCAATAAAATGAAATATACAAATCCAAGCCATTAGCCTACATAGAGGGACATTACAAGAAACGTAAAACTGTGTTTGCTGAATCCCACAGAGCCATTTTGTTAATGCCTGAGTAAAGATTTTGCTATCAGACGTGGGTTCTGCTATCCTAAGAAAATCAATTGGTTTGTCTTCTATAGATGGGGTGAGCTGTATAACTGGTAATAACTGCATCCACTTCCAGAGAACCCAGGCTCGATTTTCAGCACAACTTCCAGCAAGTTGAGGGAGGTCTTGGGCGTGCATTTTCAGTATTATACTTCCTCCGGCCCTCATATTTCACCTAGGCTTACTTTCCCACTCACCAGTTACAGCACATAATTGGTTTCATATAATTGGATTTGGATATGTTTTGTAAATTGATTCAAATTATTATTTTTTTTTGGAGAAAGATGTAGAGAGAAGAAAAGAAAGAAAGAGAAAGGGAGAGGAGGAAGGAGTCAGAAAAAGAAAAAGAAAAAGGAGAAGGAGAAAAGAGAAAGTAGGGAGGAAGAGAGGGAGGGAAGAAGAAAAGTCAGTCAGTTTGTGTCTCTTGGGAGTTACTGTGATGTGAGGATGAGATGGATTTGTTTGTATAGTTAAGCCCTCAATAGTTTCTGTCTTCCTTCAGCAAACCCAATGGACCAATACCTTCTTAGATGTATAAGACAAATAAAACAATAAAAATTTTTATTAAAAACAAAACTGGATTCTAAAATAAATTGAAATATAGCAACATAATTCTTTGACTTTCCAAATCCTGCGCCCTGGAGTTCCCACAGATGAATAAGATGACAAGGAGAGAAGAGATGCCATGCAGGGGAGTTTTTCAACCAAAGATTCTTCTTCTTCTTCTTCTTCTTTTTTTTTTTTTTTGGTGGTGGTGGTGCAGGTGTTCACATGTAAGGTTTATGTTAACAAAGGGTTACTTGGGGAAACAAAAGTTTGAAAGCACTGACATTTTCCCCTGGCAATTGGTGGACAATGGATGTGGATCTGCAAAACTGTGTATAATTCAATTTGACCTATAGATTTCAGTGTTAAGACAGTTTCCCTTTTCTGTGTGGCTGTTGATTGTCCTTGAGAACAAGTACAAGGTTGTAGAATGATATGAAAATATAAAAAGGGAAATTAATTGGAAAAATACCATCATCAATCTTAAATATTTTGGTGAAAAAAAATGATATATATATATATATATATATATATATATATATATATATATCCATGCTCAGTGTTACATGCCTGTTATCCCAGCAACTTGGGAGGCTGAGGCAGGATGGCAAGTTTGAGGTCAGCCTGGGCAACTTAGTGAGACAATGTCTCAAATTAAAAATTAAAAAGGGCTGAGGATGTAGCTCAGTGGTAGAGCACCCCTGGGTTTAACCCCTGGTACCACACCCTACCCCCAAAATTGATATATTTACTAAAATGTTCAAAATATAATTATATTTAGAAATACTGTATCCTCCCCACCAGGAAATCCTGTAAGCTTCAGTAGAACTCCTATTGAAACATACTGGTGTATGTGTGGATTACCAAGGAGTTTGAAGAACATAATCCATCTTTTGTTTCGTTCTCTCTCCAGCCCCTAGAGGGCAGCAATGATGCACAGCGAATGGGAAATTGCTCAAACACCAACCAGCATGTTTTTCAGCAAGACCAGCTTTTCTGAGAAAGTGCCTCCGATTCCCTTATATGAATTATTAGAGGGTCAGCTTCCTTTTTTTCAATCTCCAAAGATGTAGAGAACTTTGATTGACCCCTTTCAAATTTATAAAATGTAATTTTCATCTTTGCCAAACATATTCATTTTAAATATGATTGCAACGATAACTCTAAAAAGACATTTACATGTGGCTCAGCAGTAGAGTGCTTGCCTAGCATGTGCTAGGTTCTGGGTTCAATCCTCAGCACTACATAAAAATAAATAGAGGGTATTGTGTCCAACTACAACTAAAAATAATTTTTTTAAAAAAAAGACATTTACATAAAAGTTACGCATTTTAGTTATATATTTCTGTGTAACAAACTACTCCAAAATGTTGTGATTTGTCATCTCTCTCTATTCTACTGGTTAACTGAGCAGAGCTGGGCAGTTCTGTTTTTTGTGATGCTGGCTGGGACCGTGATCATCTGAGAGCTCAAATGGGCCAGAGGTCCAAGGAGGCCACATCAGGGAGCTCAGCAAGCAGAACACCTGGTTCTTTTCTGCTGGCTCCTTTGTGTGCCTTGAACATCTCACAGCATCAAGGGGGAGTGTCCCAGGATTGAGCATTCCAAAAGGAAGGAAGCTAGGCTTCCTGGCATAGACATTGCTTCTACCATCTTCCAACAGTCAAAACAATCACAAGATCAGCCCAGATTCAAGTGAAGGGAAATAAACTCTATCTCTGGATGTGAGGAGACTATTTCCACAGGGAAGGGAGAAATTGTTGGGGGCTGTCCTTGGACACCACCACAGGGAGGGTTGAGAGGAAGCCTGTTTTTGACTTACATTTTGGAAAGTCAGAGGGAAATCATAGGCAATGCAGAAGAGCACTTCTTTATCTAATAAATGGGATTTGCTTCTGAACATGGTACAAAACTGAGGGTACACAAAAGTCATTCCTGTGTTCTTCTCCTCCCCAGAGCTGTTACATAAAGAAGTGAAAAAATGGCCAGAGGATCGGTATCCGATGAGGAAATGATGGAGCTCAGAGAGGCTTTTGCCAAAGTTGGTGAGTAGACCTGGTACCTTAGTTGCACAGTTCTTTTCTCTATTGAGTAGCTTTGGAACAGATTCGATGAAATGGTGACATGGGCCAAACAGCATCAGTGACAGGGGACCAGTGGGGTTGGTTAAAGGAAACTTAATTTTAAAAGATCTGCTTCAAGGAAATCACTTCTTTCTGTATCAAAACATGGAAGAGTGACTTTTTGACCCATAGCTTTTGTCTGGAGTTAGTCCCTATGGGTCGTCCTTTCTGTCTCGTCTGTTTTCATTGGTTTCCTGTGACACATTTTCTCTTACTTTTTATCACTAAACCTATGGTTTACTTAAGAGTTTCCAGAGAGTTCCTTCAGATTCTGTTGCCAGAGCCTCTGTTTTGAAATTCTGACTCTTTAACTGTGAATGTTGAAAGTGATGCCAAAGCCCATATATAGTAGCAACATGCCTCTTGTGACACTGTGACTCTTGAGGGTCAGGACTCAACCTTGAATGCCCCCCCCAATTCCCTCACTTCCCTTATTCTTCTCTACCTCTAAAGACTGTGCTTGAACGTCCCTGAAACTTCACTGTGCTGTTTGCATTACAGACACTGATGGCAATGGGTACATCAGCTGCAATGAGTTGAATGACTTGTTTAAGGCTGCCTGCTTGCCTCTGCCTGGGTACAGAATAAGAGAAATTGCAGAAAACCTGATGGCTACTGGCGATCTGGACAAAGATGGGAAGATCAGCTTTGATGAATTTATCAAGGTGAGTATGATGTAGAACACAAGGAGATACATTTGGAACTTGGAACTTTAATTCAGTTTAAAAAAAAAAATCCAGAAAGACATTCCTACCCTCTTTGCTTCATCATGATGTGTTCTTTCCTTTGTGATTTTCTTCACCACTGCTTGGGTTTCTAAAGATACATTATACTTTTGCAGGTTTTCCATGGCCTAAAAAGCACGGATGTTGCCAAGACCTTTAGAAAAGCAATCAATAAGAAGGAAGGGATTTGTGCCATTGGTGGTACCTCAGAGCAGTCTAGTGTTGGCACCCAACATTCCTACTCAGGTAGGCTGTGCTAATGGGTGGGGACCTTAGATGGGGAGGGTGTTGGGATGATGCAAGAGCTGAAGATTGAAGGAGAAGGAAATGTGTGGAAAAAGTCCAGCACTTCTGGGGTTATAGATTCTAAACTTGATTTTCAAACCTAAGGGGTGAATGCAAACATGACTTTATGGTCTACCACCTGTTTTCCTGGGTGTAAGTGGGCCAGGTACAGGAGCAGTCATGGCTCCAGGAAACGTCCAATACTAAGTGATCTCTTCAACATTTAAAAAATGCTTTATAGGTTACCAGAATTCCTTTGTAAACCTTACAGACAAAATTAGCTACTTGAGCTTTTGTCTTGAACATAATGATCATTCTTAAGGCCAGTTGAGTGGTCAAAACTTTATGTTTTCATTGATTTGAAAGAAAGTTGTTTATTTGTTCTGAAAGCTGCCATCCAGCAGCTTTAATGGAAATTTCTAATAGCAAAAAAAAAAGGTAGAGATATCCAATATTTCCCAAACAGAGCTCTTTAGAACATCAATTGGTCTTAACAATACATTTGTGGTTAAATATTGCCCATGGTTGCTAAGACAGAGTTGTTTCACCTTTTATTTTTAAGTACAAGAATTTTTCAGAGCCTTTGCTATTGTCAGATGGGCATTATGAATCTGCAAGACCGGGATTCACGGGGCAGTGTTCCCCAAACATTTGTGATTCCAAGAGACACTTGCTTTTTTTTTTTTTTGCAGGTGCAAAAATAATTTATTGTGAATGTTTTCAAAGTCATTCTCCATTAAAATTCTTCATTATATTCCAAAAAGTACAATTACACTAAAAGATTCACTTTTGACATGTAAAAAGTAAAGAGGAAGAAGAAAAATTCACTAATTTAAGGAACTATCCTTATAATGAAACAATGAGTTATAATACATGGAGACACTTGCTTTTAATGACACACGATTTGGGAAGTTCATAGTATAAGTACATAGTATAAGGCATAACTTGAGGTTTTACTAAAACTTCTAAGATCAACTCATAGCAGCTTTGCTGATAGGAAGGAAAGATTAGATTAGATCACAAATGATTTCATGTCATAGCAGTTTACTATAATTGCACAAAGAAAAGACACTTCACAAAGAAGAAATATGATCTGTCAATAAATATATGAAAAAAATGTTCCACACCTCTAGCAATTAGAGAAATGCAAATTAAAACTATATTTAGATTTCATCTCACTCCAGTCAGAATGGCAATTATCAAGAATACAAGCAATAATAAATGTTGGCGAGGACATGGGGAAAAAGGTACACTCATACATTTCTAATAGGACTGCAAATTGGTGCAACCACTCTGGTGCAACCACAGAGAAAACTTGGAATGGATCCACCATTTAACCTAGTTATCCCACTCCTTGGTTTATACCCAAAGGACTTAAAATCAGCATACTATAGTGACGTGGCCACATTAGTGTTTATAGAGCTCAATTCACAATAGCTAAACTATGGAACCAACCTAAGTGTCCTTCAACAGATGAATGGATAAAGAAAATGTGGTACATATACACAATGAAATATTACTCATCCATTAAAAAAAATGAAATTATCACATTTGCCAGTAAATGGATGGAACTGGAGAATATCATGCTAAATTAAATGAGCCAATCCCAAAAATCAAAGGCTGAATGTTTTCTCTGATATGTAAATGCTAATTTCACAATAAGGGGTAGGAGTTGGGGAAGATTAGAAGTACTTTGGATTAGAAAAAGGGAAATGAAGGGAAGGGAGGAACGAGGGGACTGGAAATAGGAAGGTTAGTAGAATGAATTGGACATTACTATCCCATGTGCATATATGATTACATGACCAGTCATTACATGACCATGATGACATTCTACATCATGTACAACCAGACAATCCATATATGTATAATATATCAAAATATCAAAATATGTTCTACTATCATGTTTAATTAGAACAAATTTAAAAAACAAAGAAGCTCAGAGATACTGTTCACGATTGTCCAGCACTTAAATTAGCAGGGCTACAAGCAGACCCCAAGTTTTATCCTATAAGAATTAGACTGTATTTAAATTATACCTATGTATCTATACTTAAATTATACCTATATAAATATTTTTATTAGTTTAATGCATTTACATATATATATAAATACATGTATATATTTGTTTCTAAATATATATGCATGTTTTGTTTTGTTCTAAATCTGCTTGCTATATGTTTTATAATTGGAGTGAACACAGGTTCTGTTCCAAGTGACTGGAGATTTTTAAATGTCAACAAATATAAGACAATAAGATAATGAACTGAATAACCTTGTAATGTCCCTCCTGAGCATGAGAATCTGATATCCATGTGGATAATCTGATTTATATCACATCTTCACATTGCAAATAAGTTATTTTAATCTTTTACTTGTAGAGGAAGAAAAGTATGCGTTTGTCAACTGGATAAACAAAGCCCTAGAAAATGATCCCGACTGTCGCCATGTCATCCCGATGAATCCAAACACCAATGATCTCTTTAGTGCTGTTGGGGACGGCATTGTCCTTTGGTAAATAAACTTCCTCTTGGTTTCCAAAGAATTGCCCATTTTCTGGAATGTCACAATTAAAAGTGTTTATCTTGGGCCACTTCCTTTGGTGCTCAGCTGTGATGGGTATACTTTTATGGACTTTTTAATTTGACTGGATCCAGGAGAGCAAACGATTTCAGAAGCAATTTATAATGAAAAAAAAAAAAAAAAAAAAACTTTATTTCTTGGATGGAGAGGAAGGATGCACAATATAGAGCTAAGCATAAACAAAGCAGGGGGAGGGGAGAGACAGGCAAGGTGAAAGGTGGCTATTTTTAGAATATGTGCCATTTTATTTCAACTGAGCATGGCCTAATGTGAGAGCAGATAGTCTTAAGAATAGCAGGAAGGTAATGGAAACAATCCAATACACACTGTATTCCTTAAGCAAAGAGGCTTTTAAGTGGTATACACAAATACTCAGGACACAGGGCACCTGGGAAAGGGGGATGTATTCTCTCCACAAGAGAGCTCTGAATAGGGTGGTCAGTTCAGGATGGGTATTTGAGGGTGGGGTACTAGAATCCAGGGTCTTGTGCATGCTAGGCAAACACTCTACTACTGAGCTACATCCCTAGCCCTTTATTTTATTTTGAGACAGGGTCTTACTAAGTTTCTGAGGACAGCCTCCAACTTGGGATCCTCCTGCCTCAGCCTTCTGAGCAGCTGGGATTACAGGCATGTGCCACCTTGCCCAGCTAGGATGGTGTCTTTGAAACTGACTCTATAGTTCTCAGCAGCTGCTCTGTCATTGCAGACTGAGTGTTAGTGAGTAGCTGGAGATACTCATTATGTGGTGAGCTCAGGAGTGATGGAAAGGATGGGTGGGCAAGACCCTGAGCCTCTCTCCTGTGCTTCACCCAAAGCAATTGTGCTTTGGGTATTTTATTAGATTTTATCATGAGATTAAATTTTAAGGATTCCACTGCTAAAAGTGAAATTTTTTAAAAAAAGTTTTAAATCCTAGCCTGCAGGATCAAGTCTGCCTTCTTAGGTTGGCACCCAAGGCACCCCATGGCATTCCTTCACTCTCCTACTTTACCTCCCCAGCCCCCAGGGCGTATGGGTACCCAGCCCAGGTTGAGGGCTGCACAGGCAACTGCATGAATGACTAAGGAAATCAGCAGACACGCCCTGTGGGTCCCCCACCCCATGCACCCAGCTTGTAACCTGTAACTACGCTTTGCCTTCCATTTTCCTTTTAAGAGCGCCCTTTCCTGGCCCCTCCTCCTGTGCAAATCCATAGGCCCTGGCATTTTCTGGCCTATCCCATCCCCCAGTGATTTCTTCCTTTACTGAACAGAGGACATATTACTTATAATACTTTGGGAACTATTAAAATGTTCTGCTTTTAGAGTATTATGCAACTTTTCATATCCGTGCATTTTGTCTCTGTAATTGGACTAAAAGCTTTTAAAGGAAAGAGAATCTTGTTTGTGTCAGTCACTCCCCTTCACTATCTCCCAGAGCTTCACTTGTTTACTACTAGATTTTCATTTCTGAAATGATGAGTTAGGAATATGTTTCACTTAATTTGTAGCATAGAACCTTTTATTTAAATATACATATACATAAGCATGCCCACACACACTCAACATATATATGTATATATATAAAATATATTATTATTCCATGTTATGGAAATATATCACTAAAAATTAGCTACACATACAAAAACCACTAGTTGCTTAAAAATTGTAGGAAAAGCTGGGCGTGGTGGCACAGGCCTTAATCCCAGCACCTCAGGAGGCTGAGGCAGGAGGATTGTGAGTTCAAAGACGGCCTCAGGAACTTAGTGAGGCCCTAAGCAAAACAGCAAGACCCTGTCTCTAAATAAATTATAAAAAAGGGCTGGGGATGTGGCTCAGTAATTAAGCACCCCTAGGTTTAATCCCCAGTGCCAAAAGAAAAAATTGTAGGAAAATATGTTAATGCTGATTTCTCATTAAGAAAGAAGTAGTCATAGTTGCATTTACCACTTTTTAAAATCTGTGGTATTGTTCCTTTTGGATATTTGTTTTCACTTCCTTTCTTTAAATAAGATGGAGATGACCTAAAGGAATTTTTTTTTGGGGGGGAGGGCAATTGAAGACTAAATGTATACTAACTTGGATAAAATCAGGTTTTTTTTAATATCAATGATTGCAAGCTTTGGATGTCCGATCGATCAATGTATTATTTACTTATTAAGTGGGGGAAGTTTAGAATTCACTAATTAAATAATTACTATAAAAGGATATGAAAGAGTCATTCATCATATAATTATTAAGGTATTGATCTGATTCAAATAGAAATGTAGGCATTATATAAACTCAGAAGTGTATTGATAGTCTTTTATGTAGTGGGAACAATTTTCATGGCTAAGAAAGCAGAAGTACTCATGGGGTATTTGCTTTGGTCTTCCACCTGGAATTTTCTAATGTGCTATGGGAGCCAGAGTAATTTTTGTAGCTGTTGGGGTATGTGGATAAGAAGTGGAATCCTCATAACTCGCCTCACTAAAATAAGATGGCTTCGGGAACAGTAGCCTTTCCCACAGAGAGTTTGAGTCTTATCAAAATGGCACAGCTGATTTTTATATCGAAATATGGAGTACACAGATTGTGTTGTGTTCAATTATGATGCTGCTGGAATTTAAATTCAATGTTACCAGGCTTTGTTATGCAGAAATCTGCTTTCTTTAATTTAATTGTTTCCCTTTCAGTAAAATGATCAACCTATCAGTGCCAGACACAATCGATGAAAGAACAATCAACAAAAAGAAACTGACCCCTTTCACCATTCAGGTATGTCTCCACCATTACTTAGTACAGGATGGGTTTGGAAAGAAAGAACACCATTGAACTAAGTCGTGTTTTTGCAGGAGTTCAAACACTATTCCCCAAACCTAGGCTTTGGACTGGTGATTTGCCATAACTAATGGAGGTAGATGAATACATCTCTGTCTTTTCCTTTATCAGTATAGTAGGTGGGAGAGAAGGTGGTGCAGTGTTGGTAGCTGGCGGGGGATTGTATGTTTGTTTGGGCCAATTAGGAGTCAAATTCACATTGGCTAAAGTTTTAACTCACACTCCCCCTGGTAATTTATCTTGGAGTTGATGCCAAATCCATAGCATTTAACTGAAGAGATAATAAGCCTTTCTAGGAAGTGAGGGAGTGAAAAATGGGAAGTTTTCCAACAACCTTCACGTGATGCTGCCACAGCCACCAGTATAATAAATACAACTTGCTTTTATTCCTTCAGTTTAACTGGAACTGTCACCAGCAGGTCCTCTCTTATGTTCCAATCATTTAACATTATTGCAATTCTCTTGCTTAGAAACCATGTCTTCTTACTTCTTAACTCATAAATGATACATTATCTCCTATTTGGGTGTAACCCAAACCCTGTGTTCTTTTTAAATGGAAGTGGTGACCAAATTGAGACTCATGATTAAGCATAGAAATGCACTTAATGTTAAATGTTTTCATAATCTTGGCCATAAGTAGAAACTTTTTTTTTTAATTCATCATTTGAGCACTAGGATAAGAACCCTGGTGCTTTTAATTTATCATAAAAACAACTTTTATACATTTCTGACATTGGTATGGACCCAAGGATAGTAGACTCCAGCCTGAAAATGTCATTGATGCTATTCCAAATGCATGTGAGTTCCATTACATGCATCATCATTAGTCATAGCCACATATGCTCTACATTCACACACGCGTGCATGTGTGTGCTCAGTTTCCCTAGTTATTATGAATGCTCAGTAAGTTGTCTTCTTAAAAAACCTTCCATCTCTTTCTGGAATTTGATTTGTGTCTTTTTCATTTATTCCTGTAATACACAGTCTGCAAGTCGAAAAGCTAGTGTGTTGGTCTCTTTTATGACCGTATTTATGACAATAAATGTCTCATTAATGATAGCTAGTGGCAGGACAGGGACTTCCCCCAAAGGTGCCCTTTTGTTTCTGGCCAGTAGATGCTGAGTGTGTAGGCTTCATTGCAGGGCAAGATGAAGTATAAGACTCATTAATTTCCTGCTGACCAGCATGGGCCTTGCATTTGGGGTGCTGGTTTGACAGAATAGGCCACTGCATAAGCTCGGTGTCTGGATTACTGTATTTTTCCTTCTTATCATTATTCACTGCACTTCCTCAGTGTTAAAATTAGTAAAGACCATGCATCTAGGCCTGTGAACATTCTAGAAGAAAAATGTTGTTGTTTGTTGTCAAACTTAGCATCTACAAAGCAAAAGAACCAAACTTGCATTTTTTTTCTCCCTTAGGAAAATTTGAACTTGGCTCTGAACTCTGCCTCAGCCATTGGGTGCCATGTGGTTAACATAGGGGCTGAGGACCTGAAGGAGGGGAAACCCTATCTGGTCCTTGGACTTCTGTGGCAAGTCATCAAGATTGGGTTGTTTGCTGACATTGAACTCAGCAGAAATGAAGGTAGGACCCAAACCCCTAAGGCTGTGGGTGACCTAGTTCCATTAATGCCCATGTCAGGGACTATCAGAGGATGAGATCAGGAATTCTCAAGTTTAGAAAACTATACAGTTATATTGAGTCCATGGTATTAATGTAACAGATTCTATCCATAATAACCCAGACTTTTTAAAATGACAGAACAAAAGCTTTTTAAGACCACAGACTAATAATGTTGCTTGTTTAGAGCAGAGAGCACAGTCTCACTGTCTGCAACTTCAACCTCAAGAGCTTTTTTTGAGAGCTCACTTTGCCTTTAGATTCTTCATGACAAATATTACTAAGCTTTAACTTACATTTTGTGAAGCAAATCACATTCATATACTTGAGTATATGCACCAGATTGGGAGAAACTTGGTCTGCTTCTTATCAAGACTGTAGAGGAAAGTTGTGGGCCATTGGTACAAAATTGCATTTTTGTAGGATGAATAAATCCAGAGATCTGATGTAAAACATAAGGATTATGGTTAATAATATGTGTCATGTATTGGTAATTTGCCAGAAAAGTAGATTTTAGGTACTCTTACCACCAAAAGAAAAGGAAAAATAAACACTCATAATGTTGACAGGTTTTGATATTTGCTTGACTATATGAATCACTTCACTATGTGTAGCAGGATGAGTTTATCAAAGCATCATGCTGTTTACCTTAAATATATACAAGAGTTAGAAAAATTAGAAAAAGACTAGAAAAAATTGCACTTGGATTTTTGAAATTCTGAACTAAATATGCAGCTGCCAATCTTATTCTCTCACCCTCCTGTCTGCATTTAAACAGTGACAGCCCAGTTGCTTAGACAGAGATAGACCTTGACAGGTATCATACTAATCACAACATTACACTTAAGTTTTCAGGTTCAGATCCAAACAATATGAATTCCATACCCAAATTCTAATCTTCAGTTGTAAAGAATTTTTTAATCATTTTGTGTAAATCAAAATAACCAATAAAGAACCCTGAGAAATCACCCTGAAACCAATATATTAGACATAATGTAAAGAGACAAAAAAAGCAGATAGAAATATTAAAACCCATGAGAAAGAATATTGATTTTTCAAGTTCAAATCAGCTAAATTTAAACCTAATTGAGCAAAAACGATTTATTCATCTGGGGAAACAGAGGAGAATTGATTACATTGTCAGATTGCTATAATTATGCAGGTAAACATTTGAAATACAAAATTCTTATGGTGATAGACAGGAGAACATTGATTGTCATTATCACAAAATTGATCTCTTAAAAGCAAAATGGTTGTCAAATGGTGAAATGTGGTCTGATAGAGGCAGCCGAGCATCCCAAGCCAATGTTCTTGGTTATTTTTGTGACTCTGCCCCTGTGTTCTCAGATGTAGCATTGAGATTCTCTGGTGCCTTGTCTTCTCCACATGAAAAATGGGGATAATGAGTAAGCTGCAATAGCACACACCTCCTTTGAGACATAATAGTATTTATTCAATGAGAGAGGCTGTAAGAACCTGTGCACCAGAAAGATAATGCAGCTCTCTGACTTTCCAGCAGGGATCCATGAGAATTACAATGAATCCCCTTAAACATGCCATGTATTTATTTTTGTTCATTTGTGTGTGTGTGCTTTTTCAGCCCTGATTGCTCTTTTGAGAGAAGGGGAGAGCCTGGAAGATTTGATGAAGCTCTCCCCTGAAGATCTCCTTCTGAGGTGGGCTAATTACCACCTGGAAAATGCAGGCTGCAATAAAATCAGCAACTTCAGCACTGACATCAAGGTAGGGGCAGTGTTATCTGAGCATCACTAACTCCTGCAGTAAAGGGAGTTTTGGGCATCGGTGGAGGAGAGACAGATGCTGGGCCTCCTGTCTTCAGAACTCTAAGGTTCATCTGGTCCTTTTTTGGAGCCACTCACTGTCCTTCAGAGGGCATCTCTAATTCTGGGCCACACTCACATCTATCCAGAATCCTGGCATAGTATGCAAGGAAGATGAGTCTGGCTTGGAGTTTCAGTATCAGAAAGTAGAGGGACAAGGGTAGGAGAGTGCCAGGCAAGAGATGAGACCCTTTTTTAGGTAAAGAGAGTATACACAGGACTCTAAAATGGCTCTGGTGTCATAAACGGGAGCACCTGAGGGGGGTTCCCTTTAACATTACACCAGGTTGACTCTTCTCATTCGACTACTAGTAGCAAACATGGTGTCTCCTACACACCAGGCATGGGTCTAACTGCTGTGTGCATGCCTTGACTCACTTAATCCTCACCACTAGCCCTGAGATCAAGATTATTATTCTCTCATTTTACAAATAAGGGAACTGAGATAAGGAGTCCTCAAGGGGAAAGGCTGGGGAGGTGTGCAAGTTTACGAAGTTCCATGACCAGGTGAGAACAGTCAGCTGTTGGCGGCGATGACAAAGGGACCAAGGTAGGACGCACTTAAGGAGCATTTCAGGATGAGCAGAAAGCAACTCCCATAAGAACTGGTGTGAGATGCTGAGACGCAACACAAGGAGGTATTTCAGTATCCACTTTCTCAAAAATTAAAGAAGTTTCCTCCAAACAGAGAGCAAAGGAAAGGTAATGTGACCTGCCAAGAGTCCACCAGGCCTATAATTCTTCAGTTACAGGTTCCGGCTGCTTCACCACAAAAACTCAATGGTGCCGGGCACTCAGGGTCCACCAGACACAGGACTAGTGCAAAGCTTTGTGGGTGGAAAGGTCCTCATTCCTTAGGATTTAAGCCCAGTTCACTCTTCTAACCTTATAACTTCCACTGACTATCAACATTCTTCTAGCAATAGCCACCGAAATGGGGTTTAGCAGGCACTGGACCTCAGCTCTCTTTGTGATCAATAGTGAAGCCCTTTGATGGTTGCAAAACATTTCAAGCAAAGTTAGGCTGCTTCATTGCAGCCATAAATTTACCAGATTTCCTAGCAAAAAAAAAAAAAAAAAAAAAAAAGCTGTGCTCTTCAGAAAAATAACCATTTTGAACTTTGGGAAGTGTCTGTCTGAGACAGGAACTGGCAGGCTGAGCACTTACAGGGTTGTGCCCAGGGAGCAGCAGAGGCCTGTGCTGCAGGGTGTGTCTGAGGAGCCAGCAGCTTCAGGAGGTGTCTTTAAATTACATAAAATTAGCAAGAACAGAGTAGGGGAGTGAGAAAGGCAAAGTGAAAAAGATGTAACATCTGGCAGGCAGTTTGTAGGGGTGCCTACCACCTGCATGGAACTTTCACTGACTTCAAAATAGAGAAAAATAAGAGGAAGGGAAGGTAGAAAGAAAGGAGATGAAAACCGTTTCCCCAGGTGCAACATCAGTGGCTCCCGTCTTCCCGTTCTCACTTTTCTAATGTCTACGTGGTGAGCATACATCTGCTCTGCCCAGACCCACCCAGTTTTCAAAATGTTTAGCAGCTGGTTTTCCAGTCTTTAAGAAAAATTAAGATGCTATTAAATGATTTTATTACTTGAAATTCTGTATGATTTCATTGACTGAGAATAAATTTGTATTTTTAAGACTGTGATTCTGAGAATTCTGTGTCAATAAGCATATTCCAGAATCTAAGAAAACTTGAGAATTTATTACCTATATGCCATCTGTTATAACTAAATTTAACCATTTTTCTAGTTTCTAGAGAAACACTGAATTTACTTGTTTTTATAATATTTCTCCTTTTACAAAAAAGACTTCTTGTTAATGCTTCAACCTTCTGTCTTTGAAATCTTTATTTTTCTTTTGCTGATTGTCCATTTAAATGTATTTTTAAACTCTGCTTTAAACTTCTGCTTCCTTTTTCTGTCACTTTTTTTTTAATTAAACCTTAGCTGACTGACTTCTACAGCAATATAAAGGTATATATATTTTCCTGTATACAATTTAATATGCATAAATAAGTTGTTTTTCTCCCCTATGGATGACCACAAAAAATCTGCTCCTTTGGGTTGCCTTTTGTGTATGTCCTGTATTTTTAATTGTTATACTCCTTTAAAAAGAAAAGCAAATGCAATATGCAACCAAATAAAATATTCAAATTAGTGAATGTTTCTAGCTTTGGTAATTAAGTGACATTCTTGAATGACAGTATAATAAGAAATAAAATGTTTGCTTTGGGGAAATCATTGTAGAGCTAAGTATGTAATTAGCTGTGCTGTTTTGATACCATAATTTCTTAATTTTTCACAGGATTCAAAAGCTTATTACCACCTGCTTGAGCAGGTGGCTCCCAAAGGAGATGAAGAAGGTATCCCTGCTGTCGTTATTGACATGTCAGGACTAAGGGTAAGACAACAGACACTGTGTTTACCTTGGTTACTCCATTGCTCTCTGCATGACCCCTTCTCTGGAGTCCTGCTTAAATCCTTATTAAACTATTAAAAACTGTCGACAGTTTTCAATAATAATTGTGGAAAACTGAATTTACAAATAAAACATTAAAGAAAGAAACAAATGTTAATGAAATGCTGGATTTCTTTATATGTCCTTCATCCCACAGGCTTTAAATACCAACACAGTTCTGCATGTTAAAATGTTAGCTCCCCCCACCCATTTAGTTTTATTTTATTTTCCATTGACACATAAGTATAACAAGTGTGGGGTGCAGTGTGGTGTTTCAATGCCTAGGTCCATGGGGTAATGATTAGGAGCAAGTCCTTCAGTTTTGCCACCACTTTTAATACTACTGATCTTGAGAAGTAGCCTTGTCCATTTGTGGGCTTTGTTTGATATCACTGGAATTAAATCCAATGAATTAATATCAAAGTCAACTCATTCCTGAATGAGAAATAAAGTAAAAGCAAATAAGAAGTAAAACTCACAGAAGGCTATTGTCCTCAACCTAAGAAATAATTCAAAAGTTCTGTTTCTAAAAATTGGTGCTTTCTTAGAGTTTATGAGAAGTAGACCATATTTCAAAAAATTTTAGCCTTAAGACTGCTTACAAATAACTGAGGATGCTCTACAGTTATTTGGGCATGTGAAATTAGTGGTTCTCAATCTTCAAGAGCCAAACAGATGTCCTAAATTTTTCAGTGATAATATACAGTTCACTCTTATTAGCTGATATTTATTTTGTTTGGGTATACCAACTCAGTGTGGGAAATCAGGTATTCTTATTGACAGATGTAAATATCTATTATGAATTAGAAACAGGAATATAAATTATTATTTAATAAACTTTATAAATAGACAAAAACTCAAGAAGTCTATGCCAGAATATAATAAAAAGGAAGCTTGATGACTTAAAATAATTAAGATAAACTCAAACAGTAAGATTTCAAAAATCCACTGAATTTCTTTAAAAACAGAGCAACCTACCATTCATCTGAAATGGCTCTAGATAGAGATGAGAAGTCTCAATTGCCTATTTCTGAGATTCTTTTTACTTGGGACTTTCTGATTTGAGTGCAGGTACATGTAAGTAATAATGTATTGTTGCTGTGCATCTATTGGAGACACATTAAGGATTTTCAGTGGAATTCCCATTTCTTTTTCACCTTATACACATCCACATTGTGCATGGGGAGTCTTGACCCAGTCTTGAGATGTCCTTTTTCATTGCAGGAGAAGGATGACATCCAGAGGGCAGAATGCATGCTGCAGCAAGCAGAAAGGCTGGGCTGCCGGCAGTTTGTCACAGCCACAGATGTTGTCCGAGGGAACCCCAAGTTGAACTTGGCCTTTATAGCCAACCTCTTTAATAGATACCCTGCCTTGCACAAGCCAGAGAACCAGGACATCGACTGGGGTGCTCTGGAAGGTAACTATAAACCAGTTGCTTAAGATATTTGGAGAAATGCTCCCGAATCTAATGCAGTGGCAACTCAGAATCACCTCTGAAGAAGATAAAAAATCCCCCCCTCCTGCAAACAGCACACCAATTATCTGATTACATCAAATAGAATAAATTAATCAAGTCAATTATAGCCAAGCAGGAATAATCAAATACGATCATTTCACATCCATTATATTCAGGTTTCATCCATTATCAGAATTAAGTGTTTCAGGGAAGACAATGCATTTAACTATTGGATGAAATCAATCCTGAGCTCCAAAAACCTAATTTATGTTCTTAATAGACTATGTTAATTCCTAGAAACAAGAAATAGCTACCACTCAAATATATAAAAATGATATTTAATTTATATCAGGATAAGCTTTCTGTTTTCATTTTATTTCTTTTATTTGGATTATTAGCAGCACAGAACAGTAGTTTGGGGCAGAATCCTGACAGTTGTATCTTGCAGGTTTAGTATCCTAAGATTGGACAAAAAGCACATGGTTTTAGTTAACTTCTACCAGCTAAAAGTGCCAGAGATGGGGCTGGGGTTGTGGTTCAGCAGTAGAGCACTCGCCTAGCACATGCAAGGCGCTGGGTTCAATTCTCACATAAAAATAAATAAATAAAATAAAGGTATTATGTCCAACTACAACTAAAAATATATATATATATATTTTTTAAAGTGCCAGAGATGTTTACTTATCCTTATTTTTTATATCATGACCTAGCCCCTTGAAACAAAAAATAAAGTCAAAATTAATATTAAATGAATGTCACCAAGCAAGGCAATACAGATTTAAAGTATTGGTGGATCCTTTTCCACAGTGCGCTCCCCTAGCTGGAAAGAGTCCGTATCTAATACTGCTGTGTTTGCACCATTTGTTATCCCATGGTCAGGAGTCTACATATTTGTTGATCTCAAGTCTATATATAAAGCCCACCAATCACCCATTTCCAGCTGCCCCTAGGATTTCACTATCTGGGACCCTCACTATCTTTTGACATGAATCGTATACAAAACAAACCATCCCTTCTCCTGTCCCCTCCCCCATTGCCTTTCCACCCCACCTCCCATCCCATCTGTTTCCATCTTTAAAAATTCTCCATTTCTATTAGTCATACCATTTGTTTTTCATTAGTCTCTGAAACTGAAGACCTTGGGTTCCACTATGATATCTTCATCTCCTTTATCCCTAAATCTATTAAGTCAACAAATACCAACAATTCTTCATTTGGAATACCTTCTAGATTGTTATTTTTCCTTTCTGTTCTTTTGGACAAATATTACCTCATACACCAATTATTTTAATAGAACTTAGGGCACTCAATTCAGCCATTCATCAAACACTTGAATGTGCCTCACACACTAGTGCCAAACACTGTTCCCTCTGCATATGTAATTTAAATGCATATCACCTCTCAGTAATTCTGCACACTGCTGCCAGGCACAATCCAGCACAGATTTCATTATATCTCTGCCTCGCTTGAGAATGTATTATAGTAATTTTAAAAAGAGCCCATAATGACTGACACTGTCTAATATATCAACCCAAATCTGCTGCCTGGCATTCAGAGATCTCCAATTCTGGTTCCAGCATTTAGACAGCCTTGTCTCTGTGTGCTGGTACTTCACAGACCCCCAACAAATCATGCCCATTCTCAACAGAGACCTTGTCTATTGCTCCCGTTATGTTCATATTTATACTCATTCCTACTTCCACCTCTTACCATCCCCCAAATGCTCTGCTGTTAACTCATTACTCTCTTTTACTAACCCAGAAAGTAAAACTCAAATTTCACCCCTCTAAATTTAGCCCATACTATTTTTGCCACATCTCAACCCAAAGAGCAAATACACCTGCCTCCTGTGTGAGTTTTATAACTCTCTGTTTAATGGCCAAGAATCTTGTTTTTCCTACAAGAATGTCAAGTCTTCATGGGCCAACTCAGAATAGTTACCCTACACAGAATCTTGCACACCACTAATAGGTGCAATGAAAATTCTTATTGAATTGAAATAGGGAGAAATTAACACAAAATAGGAAAGCTCATCCAAATCCAATAGGGTCTATTTTATTTTTTAGTCTACCTTCAGTTTTTATTGGTTAAACTTGGATAATAAAAATGGCTGACGGGCATAAAGATAATAAGTCTTCATTAATCTAGGTGAGACCAGGGAAGAGCGGACATTTAGAAACTGGATGAACTCCCTGGGTGTTAACCCTCGTGTCAATCATTTATACAGGTAAGAATGTTTGGGAACTCATCCCTAATGTGAGATGTAGAGACCGTGAAGAAAACAGGGTTCCAGTTCCACTATGGTGCACATTCTTTTCACAGAATGCATGAACCTGGATAAGGAGGTGGGGAGTGCCATAATGAGCTGCAGATGTTGGGTGTTCAGCTGAGAAACTCACCTCTGTGCACCAACCTTACGGTGTGTTTAGTAGAAGAATCATATCTCAGCAAGACAGATTTACTGTGTGTCAAAGCCTGTTCTTCTCACCATCAGGCAAAGCAATGAGGACTAGGTTTGCAGTTAAGAATCTCCTGTGCTGTTTGTTAAGCCTTGCTTATCTTCCTGGAGGCAGCGTGCATGTCTGCTGAAGGGGCACAGCTGGTCGCACCTGGGGACAGGACTCAGTTTCTCTGAGTGACACTTTTTTCACCTCTAAAGATGGAGTTACTCTTTTTTCTTCATTTTTAAAAATTTTTGGTTTATTTATTTATTTTATATATGACAGCAGAATGCATTATAATTCTTATTACATATATAGAGCACAATTTTTCATATCTCTGATTGTATACAAAGTATATTCCCACCAATTAGTCAACAGGGACTTTAATTAGTGTCTCCATACATGTACTTTGGAAAATAATGATCATCACATTCCACCATCATTAATTACCACATGCCCCCTCCCTTCCCTTCCCACCCCTCTGGCCAATCTAGAGTTCATCTATTCCTCCCATGGTCTTTCTCCCTATCCCACTATGAATCAGCCTCCTTATATCAATGAAAATATTCAGCATTTGTATTTTTGGGGATTGGCTAACTTCACTTAGCATTATCTTCTCCAACTCTATCCATTTACCTGCAGATTCCATGATTTTATTCTCTTTTATTGCTGAGTAATATCCCATTGTGTATATATGCCACATTTAAAAAATCCATTCATCTATTGAAGGGCATCTAGGTTGGCTCCACAGTTTAGCTATTGTGAATTGTGCTGCTATAAACATTGATGTGGCTGTGTCCCTGTAGTATGCTGTTTTTAAGTCCTTTGGGTATCACAGGATTATTGTGAATGTTCCTGGAGCTAAGATATAGGGAAATACCTGGCCCAGTGTAGGCCCTGAATAAAATGTTGGATATCTAAGCATTCTCCTTCTGTGTTTGTTTTATTCAGTGACTTATCAGATGCCCTGGTCATCTTCCAGCTCTATGAAAAGATTAAAGTCCCTGTTGACTGGAACAGAGTAAACAAACCACCATACCCCAAACTGGGGGGCAACATGAAGAAGGTAAACAATGACCGTTCTGATATTCCTGTAGGCAGACAAAGTCATAAGTCTGCATACGCTCTTTGTGAATACTTTATCAGAATGCCAAACTTAGATAAGTAATGTTTATCCAGGGATTAAATTATACCACAGCAATCAGAAATTTGAATAGTTTTATTAAAGCAAGTCCATTATTTCAGTTGATGACTTATTTATAATTCTATGTTGGATGTCTTTAAACATTATCATGTAAAAATTCTAATTAAGATAATTAGAGCAAGCAGAGCCACAGGGTTTTCTTCCCCAGCAGGATCCTCATTCTAATTTTCTAAAAAATTGGAGCTTTGTACTGACAGCTTGACTAGTACAAATAGTTTGTCTACTGTCAACACAGTGGGAACGTTATTTTGTAACAACAGGGTTGGCAGAACCATGTCTTACCATTTCTCCTCTTGATGACTCTTAATAAACCATGGGTAGCTACAGGAATATTTGCCCTACATGTCTATCTACTATATGAACACAGGATGGAGAATCCAGATTTTCCAAGTCTGAATTTACCTATTTTAAAAATATTATGGCCAGGTGCAGTGGTGCACACCTGTAATCCCAGCAGTTCAGGAGGCTGAGGCAGGAGGATTGTGAGTTCAAAGCCAGCCTCAGCAAAAGCGAGGCCCTAAGCAACTCAGTGAGACCCTGTCTCTAAATAAAATATAAAATAGGGCTAGGGATGTGACTCAGTGGCCAAGTGCCCCTGAGTTCAACCCCTGGTACCAAGAAAAAAAAATATATATATATATATGGCCACAAAATGTTCATAATAATTAATTTTAGTTTTTCACTTAAAAGTATCCTGCGAATATTTTTGGTGGAAATGAAGTGTTTCTAAATAAGAAAAGATGGAAAATTCTTTAACTTGTTTAGAATCCTAGAAATTTAGAACCACTCGAGACTTGAGGAATCATTGAGTCTGATCTTATTTATTTCATTTGTGTCTTTATTTTTCTTATTTTATCTGGTATTCATCATAATCAAGGTGATGATATTAAATATTTTCTTCCTTGCTCTTCAATAGCTTGAGAATTGTAATTATGCGGTGGAATTGGGGAAGAATCAAGCTAAGTTTTCTCTGGTTGGCATTGGTGGACAAGATCTTAATGAAGGAAACAGGACTTTAACACTGGCCTTGGTTTGGCAGCTAATGAGAAGGTAATGTGACTCATGAGAATAACTTTTTATTGAACAGATTATTTACCTGGAAATTTACTAGGAAATTTTTAGGACTGTGATTTAATTCAGTTTAAACTATGTTTTAAGCTAAGCATAAAAACCAAACAAGTATTTTTTATTTTCCTGAAATTTTTTTTCTTTCTTCAGTTCAATCAGTTTTTGTTTCCAATGCTGTAAAAATCTGTTATTAGGTTCATAAACATTTTAGATTATTGTTTTGTCTTAGTGAGTCATAGAGTGACACTTTTTATGCCTAGTGATATTCTTTTCTCTGAAATTTACTTTTTCTAATATTAATAGAGCTACTACTATTTCTCTTGATTCGATGTTAGCAAGGCATATCTTTTTCAGTCCTTTTACTTTTTACTGGTTTGCGCAAGTAACAATTACCCCTGAAGGGGATTTAAAAACAAGCGGGAAGTTAGCGTATTTACCTACACATTTATTATTTCTTATGTTCTTTCGTCCATTGTGTAGATCCAGATTTCCACCTAGTATATTTTCTTCTATTTGAAACTTTTCTAATAGCACTGGACTGCTGATGATAAATTCTTTTTTTTTTTTTTTTTTTTTTTTTTTTTTTAATTTTTTATTGTGGGTTGTTCAAAACATTACAAATTTCTTGACATATCATATTCCACACTTTGATTCTAGTGGGTTATGAACTCCCACCTTCACCCCATACACAGATTGCAGATTCACATCAGTTACACATCCATTGATTTACAAATTGCCATACTAGTGTCCGTTGTGCTCCGCTGCCTTTCCCATCATCCACCCTTGATAAATTCTTTCAACTTGTACATGTGAGAAAAAGTCTCAACTTCATTTTTATTTTTCAAAGATTTTTCTCTGAATGTAGAATCTAGGTTGATACAGTTTTCTTTTCTTTTCTGTACTTTTAAATAGTCTTCACTGTCTTCTTGCCTCCATGATTTCCAGCAAAAAGGAAATCTCTTGTCCTTCTTATCTTTGTTCCTCTGTATGTCGTATGTCTTTTCTTTTCTGGCTATTTTTAAGATTTCTCCTTATTATAAGTTTTAAACCATTTAATTATGATGTATAATATTCTTTCTTGTGCTTGAGGTTTGCTAAGTTTATTTGATCTGTGGGTTTAAACTTTCCATCAAATTTTGAAAAATTTTGGCTTTCATTTGTTGAAATACGTCTTTTATATTCAGTAACCTTGTTTGGGGAGACTCCAAGTCCATATATATTTACTTATTTGAAGTTGTCCCTGAACTTATTTCTCTTCAATTATGTCTTCCATGTTTTATTTTTTCATTGCAGATAATATGTATTCCTATGTCTTCACATTTAGTAATATCTCTCTCTCTCTCTCAACATTTTTTCATATGCTTTTCATTGTGTATTAAGTGTTTAGGTCTGACCTTTTTACTCTTACAAGTCCCTCTAATAGACAATATTAAAGTTCTCTAAGTTTATCGCTGTGAAATTTCTTTAATAGACATATTATTTAATAGAACTTTGGATACCTTTTAAGCTGAATATAAACTTGACTAATGTGAGAATGATAATCCTTGTTAAATAATTATAAAATAGCATAAGATATATAAACTAGATAATAAGAAAAATAAACTTTTTGGTATGAAATCATGAGTCTGGGAAGAATTTTAGATAACTGTGTAAGTATGAAACAGTTTATTTTTAAATGTTTCACTCTTTCCTGCTACACTGATAGCTCTGGACAGGCAGAGTCTTACATCTTTCAACTAGAACCTATGTTAGCATGACTTGATTTATTTTTCTACTTGGAAGGAAGTCCCAGCAGCCATGGATCAGATCACCTTCTGTCTAACAAAGTCATGGCAATGACAAGGTTTGTCATGTCCATAAGGTGCTTAAACTTTAGTCCCACTGTCTACAGATCCTAGTATTTGTGAATGGTTCTCAATGTGACAGTGCCTTTGTTTCCAGATAATGTAAAATAATCAGCAGTGACCATAACAGGTTTCATTACCTAATTCACATTTGTTTTACCACGTATAGGACTCTGCTACCCGTTTCAAAACAGGGGTCTCCTTAATGATGGAGGGCAAATGTTATAAGGTCCCCTTTGCACAGAAAACTCTAGAGTTAAAGAAACTTCAACTGACTCTTCTATTTTACTGAATATTTCTAGACTATCACTAAAAATTACTAAGGGCCTTTCTCACCAGGATATGTCCAGAAACGATCTCTAAACTAGTTTTATTGTCTTTCACATGTGTTTTTGATTTTTAATAAACTAGTTTTGGGTACTGATTGCTTTAAGCACCTAAGTGAAAGTCTTTTTAGGTGTAACATTTAAATTCACTCGGGGGTTACAATACAAAATAATCTTTAATATTGTCTTTTTAATGATAAACTCTATTCTGTTTTAAAGTTCATAATATCTGAAAAACACTTTGTAATATGACCTTTGTTCTAAAGTTTTATAAGAATATGGCCCAAAGCCCTACTTTAGGGCTCATTTACATATATGATAAGGTCTAGTCTGCTGCTGTAGCCTTCACCTGGATAATAAGTCATATTTCTCAGGTGCATTTACTACATAAGAATTATACATTTAAGAAAGGAAACTGAGAAGTTCATTCTTATTGAAGGAAAAGAGTGATTGGCAATTATGAAAATAGAACCAGAAAGGACTTTTTTTTCTTTCTTGCTTTTCTTTTTTTTTCCCCTCTGCATGCCACATATTAACATATCTGTTAAATTTATATCCACTTCTAGCTGAAATTTATTTCATGGGATTGCACAGATGTGCTAATTTGGTCATTTATTTGGGCAACAAACGGCATGTCATTTCTTCCCCCTAAGAATGATTGAGAGATATGTGCTGAAGCCTCCCTTTCCCCTTCAGCAGCACAGAGACTGTTCTCAGATTGGACAGCTGGCAAATAGTGTGTGTATAAATTTGGAAACAAAAACCTGTAACAGGCCACCGGCAGATGGCAATGATGGCGAGACCCAAGCCGAACTCCCCACAAACAGGCTGTGTGTGGCGAAGTCAGCATAGGTCCTTGACAAACAAAACACGAGCTTGGTCCCTCTGTGCCAAATGTTAGATAAATAAAACAAATGTTGGCAGGCAGGAAATCAAGCAAGTAATAATCACATCCTCCCCGGCTCCTCACATCCACACCTCATCAATCCTCTTTTGTTGAATGAGGACCTGGCTGGAGCTGGGCTCCTAATGCCCCTTCATTTTGATGAAAGGCTTTTCAGCACAGCACATTTTGCAAGCAGCAGTGCTATTGACATCTTGACTGTGGGGTTCTGTCTAATAGCACAGTTGCCCCCAGACACATTTGATAATCAAGGGTAATTATCTCACAAGGAAAAATCTAGGTAGACCCAGGCCAAATTTGTCTTGTCTTACATTTTGATTCTACATTTAAATGAGTAATTGCTTAGTGGACTATCGAAGGTCGAGACTCCAGCCTAATTTTATGCTTTCCTCCCTTTGTTTTTATCATTGTACTTACAAGAGGCTATTGGATTCTATTTTAAACCTCTGCATTTCACTTGAGGTGGCAAAGACTGTTTTGTGGTCACCAGAGCTCTATACCTCCTTGAAGGACTGTTTTTAAACCCCAAATGCAATAAGTGGCCTCCACAATACTCTGCCCCTCAATAAGGATCTCTGTTCCTTGATGGCCTTTCATTTTCACTGATAGATGTTTGTGTAAAGGTGGGCTTCTCTTCAGTACCATTTAGTTCCTAAGCTCAAGAGATGTGTGGAAAACTCGGTTCTTGTTTCCCTGAGTGTATCAGCAGGTCAGGGTTGAAATTCCAGATGAGGGGAAAGAGAATTAAGTCCTGAACAAGGGAAACTGCTAGAAGATTACATTTAGTTTGTTCCACCAGATTCTATGTAGAGAAAAATTAATGAAGCAAGCACTGACCTACTGTTTCTTATTGAGAAGCTCATTGAGTAGAAATTCTTAATTGTTTTGTAAATGCTAATAACTTAACACATATGCTAGCTATCAGGAAATAGGAGGACAGTTATGCCACAAACACACTCTTTATGATCAGTCGAAAGGCAATGCTGTTTTCTTTTTTTTCCTGTAGATTTAAATCAGGGCTCTGCACATACAAGGCAAATGCTGCACCACTGAGCTACTTCTCCACCCCGACTTTTTAAAATTTTTTAAATGTAGATGTACACAATACCTTTATTTTATTTATTTATGTGATGCTGAGGCTTGAACCCAGTGCCCCATGCATGTGAGACAAGTGCCTCTACCACGGAGCCACAATCCCAGCCCTTCTCCCACCCTTTTAATTTTTTCTTTTGAGACAAGGTCTTACTAAGTTGCCCAGGCTAGACTTGAACTTTCGATCCTCCTGCTTCAGCCTCCTGACTAGCTGGGATCAAAGATGTGTGACACCACACCCAGTAGGCAAGATCTTTTTCAAACTAGGAATATTTTGAGAATATGCCTGGGACTTTGGCCCCCCTCACTGGGCCCAAACTAAGCATTTTTTATCTATATTGGCTTCTTGCTTTCCCACAAGAAGAGCAGGAAAAAGTCACTCTATTTATTTCACCCACCACTCTTTGCTTCTGTTTATTAGATGCCCACGGTACTCTGCTGTTCCCTGAAAACAACATGGTGCACAGAGTACATGGACCCTGTCTAAGGGGACATGATGAACATTATTGCCACTGAAAGTTCTGAGAAACAGGATTAAAGAAAGGGTAATAATAATAACTAGTGCTTTGCATGGCTTGGAAAAGTGATGCTTGAGCTGAGCTGAGAATGGTTCAAAGGATGAGAAATTCAGTAGTGGTAAAGGGCATCCCAGGCAACAAGCATAGCTGAGTCCAGGAAGCAGGAAGCAGGATGATGCATGGTGTGGTCAGGTACTTGCTGATAGTTCTGTCCAGTTGAAATAAAAGAAAGGGAGAGAGAAGGAGAGATGGGGATGAGTGAGGGAAGAAGAAAATCACAGATGTGCTAAAAAAGGAGAGTAAACTACTTGTGAATAGGTTTGTGTGCCACACTAAGAAGTTTGACAAATGACATGACCAGAATGATACTTTAGAAGGGAAATTCTGTGATGAACAAAAACAGAATGGGGAGGAGTTTGTCGATTTGGGGAAACTTGGGGGGTGTCACAGAGAGGCTGTAAGTGCCAGTTTGATAAATGTGATTTTCTGGTGAAGAAAAGTTGTAGAGGCCAAAGCTGCTTTAACCAGGACACTGCTCTTCTTTCATGGAGTCCAACTCAAAAAAATCCATATAGAAAACCATGGAGAAATTGTACTTTGTATCAAAGCAGCAGTTGGAGGGAGAGACACAGTGGGTCATGCAAAATCCCATGCCACCCAAGTGGAGGGTGTTCTCATTTAGGCCCCTCCAGGAGTGACTCATCACAAGCTTCCTGGGTTTCAACTTGAGGACAGCAAGTAATCCTAGCCCTGAAGTCTTTCATGACTAATATGACCCCCTCCTGGAAGCCTGAACTTTGGGGTCTGCAAACCTGTCCCTGGCACGATGCTGGGTTTTCTTACTTTTCCCAAAGTAGTAGATTTAGGGATTCTGCCCTCTCCATATAATTTTAAGAGCTTGAAGCATCTTCTTAATAAATGTCACCTTAATAAATGTCTCCCCTAAAAGATCACCAGTTCTAAAAACAATATGTATCTAAAGCAACTCTTACCTTTGGGCTGGAGGTTGCTTTCCGTCAGTGTGTGGCTGACATTTCTACTTACCTGGTATAAGAAATTCTTTTGTATTTGTCTTTTGTTTCATTGGCTCCAGGGACTTTTCTAACATGGAGTCATTTCTTACACACATCACATGCTTCACTTCCTTTTTCTTTCTTCACCTTTCTTCTCCTCTGCTTGCTCTCCCTGCCCAGAGCAACAGACAGTGCTTAGAAGGAGGTATTTCCTTTGTAGTCCATTCTAACAACCATACATTTACATTTTAAATTATTCTAAAAGGAACTAATGTTATTACATATTCTGTTTTGTTATTTTTTCCTACAAGGGAATGGTGTTTGGAGGATCTCCTATGATATAACTAGAAAGAGAATTTCACCCTGTTGAATTCTTTAGCCACTTCTCTCCAGAAATCATTCTTGATTTTATTCAGGTACACACTGAATATCCTTGAAGAAATTGGTGGTGGGCAGAAGGTCAATGATGACATTATTGTCAGCTGGGTGAATGAAACACTGAAGGAAGCCGGGAAAAGTACATCCATCTCTAGCTTCAAGGTAAAATATTCGTCTTCTGTTAGAGGCCACCTGAGACCTAGGCTTATCTCTATTGTTTTCACTGTATATTAAATGACCTTCAGTGTTAAGGATTTGAGGCTTCCTCTCCCATTCTACTGTTTTCTTAAATGACCCATTATTGTTTTAATGTTCATTGTCCATTGCACTGATAAATTTCTCCTCACTTTCTCCCATAATAATTAATTTTAAAAAGCAGTCATTTTTCACACATCATTTTAGGTCTTATTCTTTCAAAGTAACATAAAGTATGATAATATTTTTTAAAAATGTGCCTACTTTCATGTAGTGATGAAATATAAAATGCTAAAAGATCTCCCATGTGATGGTTTTCAAAAAAAATTGTGTATTTATATCCAAATCCTATTTTTATTATGATAGAATTATATTTTGTTAAATTTCTTAACTCATGATTCATACATTAGCAGGGTTGTTCCCCAAGGGACCTGCTCACTTGATCAGTATTAAACTATATTCTTCTACTTTAAAGGTCAGGATTGAAGGGAGGGAGCCCTTCAGAGTTGTATTGACAGAGCCTGAGAGGTGGTTCATTGTGATATCAATCCTCTACTCCAAAATTATTTTAAAAAATGGAAGTCTCTTCTCACCAGGAAGGGTGGAGAGAGATCTGGGTAGGGCTGTCCCAGGAGCATCCATCTGCTCTGAGCTCAGATAATGGCCACCCTGCCCCACCTCAAGCTCCCTGCTCAGTCTGGATTGCTGAGCAGAGCTGGGAGTGGAGGATGGGCACTGAAGTGAGCAGATCCTTCAAGAAACAGAATTGGAAAGGCAACTAGAGAAAGCAGAGGCAAAGAAGTGCAGGGAGCTCTGTTCATCAGTTCATGAGTGTACTCCTCATTTTATGGGTGAGGAAAACTGAAGCCCAGGTGACTTTCCAAGGTCAGAACAAATAACTGCAAGTGATGATCCTCAGTGAGGGGAAAGCACCTTTTACCTGTTGGGTGAAGTCTAGGATAGAGCATATTCACAGGTCACTTAACCCTCAGTCTGAGTGACCAGTCATGGAGACGGAGGTGTTTCTCCTTGTAAAACACTCAACACTCCAGCCTGTGGCTTCTGGTGTGTTCCTGATAGGGTGAGACTTGGTAAGCCATTGGGCTCACTCTTAGGAGTGTTTGATAATTTTGTTTTGTTTTGTTTTTTATAATTCTCTGATCTGATTTTCTCCTGTCTTCTCACTAAGTCATTGCAGAACTGATTAGGTTAACAGGGCTACACAGTGTACCAAAAGGAAATGCTAAATTAGCCCCACATTCCTTTTAAGTGAAACCCTTAAAAAAATACCCAACCCACTCCCCTCCTACCCCATACTGGGGTTTAACTCGGGGCAATCTATCACTGAGCTATACCCCCAGTCCTTTTTATTTTTTTTTTTATATTGAGACAGGATCTCACTAAGTTGCTGAGGCTGATTTCAAACTTGAGATCCTCCTGCCTCAGTCTCCCAAGCTACTGGTATTATAGGCAAGCACCACTGTGAATAGAACCAACCCACTCTTGGTTAACCACAGTGGAAATAATCCCAGTCCTTTGTCATCTACCAGTTACAGCCATTACTTTGTAGGTCAGCACCTCCCAAAACTGTGAAGAGAAAGCAGGAAGAAGGAGAGATCCGAATCTCTCCATTTTGCTTTCCTTTGTGCTTCTTCACCAAAAAGTTTTGGGGAGATAGAGGCCAAGGCTGATGTTGGAAATTAGATTGTGAGTCTGTCTTGACTTAAATTCTGCAATGGTTCTTTTATTATCCATGCATGAGTAATAATGGGTTCATTATAGTTATTAAAAAATGTTATTCTACCTTTACTTGAAGGTCAAAGCTAGAGAACTAGCATCTTGCAGTGTCCTGTGTCCTTCTTACTTAGAAATTGTTTGGATTCAGCCCCTTGAAGTAAGAGGTACTTGGCCTTCACCATACTTAGATGGTGACACTCAGCTGCACTCATGGGTACCCTGGCCTGTGGTCCCTATTACAGCAGGAGAGCAGAGAACATTTGGTGTAGATCTCTGTGTGCTCACATCTGAGGTTCATTCACCGCTCTAGGCACAAACATAAAAATGTTTACAATGCCAAAGAGCCCAAGATTTTAAGCCAGAATTTTAGGTTTGAATCCCAACTCTACCATTTCCCAGCAAGTCACTTAGCCTCAGAATCTCCTCTACTTATTTGTGAATTAAGATTAAGTGGGGAGACTTAGGATGTAGCTCAGTTAGTAGAGCATGTGCTTAACATCTGTGAGGCTTTGGGTTCCTTCCCCAGTACCAAAAAAAAAAAAAGCTAAAAAGATAAAATATGGATATTAAACTTTCTCACCATAAAATGATAACTCTGTAATGTAATCCATTTATTAGTTAGCTAAAGTTTAATCATTCCACAATGTGTGTGTGTGTGTGTGTGTGTGTATACAAACTTGATAAAGGAAAGGGTGAGGGAAGGATAAGATAGAATAATATAAAGAACCAACCAAATATAAATTAATAGACAAGTTAAAGGAAGTCAAGGAGTGTAGAGGAAGGAGAAGGGGAGAGGGGAGGGAGGATGAGAGGCAAAAGAGGAGGTGGAATTTGAGCCAAATAAAAGAACAGACTAGATGCCGACATCCTTCTAAGACCTTGGTAACAATTAGTTAGTGAAAAGGCACCAAAAGATATTAGTCACCCTCATTGCTGTCGTTGTCTCCCTGGCAACGATAGTTCTTTTTCCCTGAAGTCTCCAGGAGAGGAGCCTCCACTGGCGCTCCTGTCCACCTGCACCCTCACCAGGATTCCTGCCACTCTTCTGAGATGTCCCACATGAAGCAGGGTTTTCTGGTGTCTTTAGTGTCTTCTTTTGGACAGTTTCTTTTAAAAAATCATTCCTTCCTCCACTGAAAGCAGTAGTTCAGAGACACGTTTCCACCTTGGTGTTCCTCTCTACTCTGCTAACTTCCTTACATTCCTTATTTGAGAATGACTCCTGCTGTTGGCAGTCAGTGGGTTTTCTGAGAAGTTACTAATGCCTCTGCAGAAGCTACAGAGGGTTTGAAATACTGGGTAGAATGCTGTGGCACCTCCCTGAGCAGGGTGTATATAGTTCATATTTAAGAAAAAAGAACCACCCACTTGACCCAAATGGAAGTCACTGTGGTACGCAAGGATTTTGATAAAACCCTCCCTTTCTCTCTCTGTAGGACCCAAAGATTAGTACAAGTCTTCCTGTTCTGGATCTCATCGATGCCATTCAACCAGGTTCAATTAATTATGACCTCCTGAAAACAGAAAACCTGAATGATGAAGAGAAACTCAACAATGCAAAGTACGTAAATAACCTGAGATCAGGAGGGTAGGATCCAAGGGAGAGCTAGAGAGTTGTAAAGTCTAATGCTTGTGCCTTTGTGCAAATAACTTTATTTGCACTATTCATGCTTTTTTTCTCATGATTTATTTTTGTCTCATCATTATTATTTAGACTTCCCATATTAGAATGGGAGCTAGACAAAAAACAATTTCTTTAATGAAGAAGCAAGACTATGGTTTTATGAGCCAATTTTCTAATTTTAATGTATAGCAGATTTCACACATAAAGTCTATCCTTGGCAAGCTCCAAATGCAAACATCCCATTCATGAGTATCCATGGATATGTAAAGGCAGGGGTCAAATTCAAGACCAGGTACTTCATCAGCTAATGAACAGCTTTCATATGCTTTACCATTTAGGCCACCTGCCAAATGATTTCTCTAGAATGAGGATCAGCAGACTATGGTCTCTGAGCCAGATGTGGACTGATGTCTGCATTACTAAATAAAGTTTTATTGGAACCCAGTTCACTTGTTTACATACTGTCTATAACTGCTTGTCTGCTATGCTGGCAGGCTGGAGTAGTTGCCACAAAGCCTACAACTCTGCACTCTCTGCTCTAGAGAGCTGCCTTTTTCAAAGCAGGTCATAATAGTTTCCCAGGGCTGTCAGGACAAAGTACCACACAAACTGCATGGCTTAAAACAACAGAAGTCTATTCTTTCACAGGTATAGAAACTAGAAGTCTGTAATCTGCAGAAGCTACAGAGGGTTTGAAATACTGGGTAGAATGCTGCTGCACCCCCCTGACCAGGATGTATATAGTTCATATTTAAGAAGAAAGAACCACCCACTTCCCCACCCACTGACCTAAATGGAGGTCACTTTGATACTCAAGGGTTTTGATAAAATCCTCCCTTTCTCTCTCAGCAGGGCTGGTTGCTACTAAGGGTTCTGAGGGAGATTGCCTGTCCTGTACCTCTTTTCTAGCTTCTGGTAATGGCCAGCAATCCCTGGTGTTCCCTGGTTTGTAGACTATAACCAGCCTCTGCCTCCATCTTCACTGTGTGTCTCTAACTTCACATGGCTGTCTGCACTCTCTGTGTGTCTGTACCTCTTATAAGGACCCTCACCATATTGGATTAGGGGCCCCACCAGCATGACCTCATCTTAACTAATGACATTTGCAAAAATGACATCCTATTTGCAAGTAAAGTCATAGGAGGAAGTACTGGAATCTAGGACTTCAATCTATATTTTGGTGGGAAGGGACATGGTTGAACCTATAACATGGGTCTGGAATTCGGAAGTGTCTAGGGCTTTGTAATTTCACTAGTGCCCTCTCTCTACTCCCAATTGGGGAAAGTAGGGACCTGTTCTAGAATGATGATATTTAGCATAATTTAATGGAGAGAAGACTAATAATTAAACTACAATTTCAATAGAGTGGGATGGATAGTGTAGAAGGTGGAGCATGGAATACCATGGAGGGAACAGGAAAGGACTGAAGCTCTTTAGAACAAACAACATCTAAGCTGAGCAAGTAAGAAGGAGATAGAGAATAGGAGGAGATAGAATATTCTAGATGAAAGAACACATGCAAAAACTCAGAAATTTAAAAAAAAGTAAAAAGCTTTTGAGATCAGATGTCAAGGGGGAAATTTGATTAGGTTAAGAAATTTGCCAAGGTCATTCAATTTTTGAGCTGTGCTGCTGAGATTCATTGTCTGCTTCAGAGCCAAGACTCCTAAGCATTCCATGAAAGGACAAAATATGAAATGATATTGTGTAGTTTGGAAGGAACTACACAAAATTCTAAGAATGATTGTTATTGTGGCAAGTTTGTTTGTTTCTTGAAGCTCATTTATGGATTTTGAAGCAATTTTCACTGTACATTTTATAATGAAAAATTAATTTTACTTCATTAATAATAAATATAGAAGAAATTACTGTGAAGTGGACAAGGAGGAAAAAATGGGTCGATTCCTGCCCAGTGCTCTAAATTTGATCAATAAAGTAAGAATAAAGTTTTTTAGGTGAGAAGGAGGGAGGGCGTCGGAAAAAATCTCTTGAGTAGCCATAGTAAGAGGTTATTAGAGAATAAATGAGATGAATAAAAGAACTGTCAACTAATAGTGTGGGCACATTTGAAAACAGATTACAACTAATAAAATTATCTTTATAAGACTGTAAATAAAGCAAAAATATTCTAATGTACCTGGGGATAATTTTATGTGGAAAAACATAGAATATAAAACTCTGGCTATTCTATAGTACCATAAATGCATACATCTATATATGGATAAGCATTGGAATGGGGAAAGGAATTAAAAGCATTGGCGTATCAGGTTGAGGAGACTGTCCAGGGATTCCATAGGTGAGTTCTGTCCTGAGGGGTCCCCTTCATACCTTGCTGCTCTGATCTTCATGTCCTCTTTTCTCTCTTTTAGGTACGCCATCTCTATGGCCCGAAAAATTGGAGCAAGAGTGTATGCCCTTCCAGAAGACCTGGTTGAAGTGAACCCCAAGATGGTCATGACAGTGTTCGCTTGCCTCATGGGGAAGGGGATGAAAAGAGTGTAAGACCAGTGAGTGGGACAGGGAAGGTGGCCCGCTCAGTCCAGAGGGCCCAGCACAGGGTGCTCTCAGAATGCGCAAGGACCATTCAAGCTATTCAGAGTTTTCACCTTGGTGATAATGCACAAGATTCCAAAATGTGCATATTTGTACAGCCAAGTAGCCTCTCCTATATTTAATAACAACAAAGAAAAGCTTCTTTTATTTTTTATTTTTATTTTTGCAGGAAATCCAATCTCTTGACTTTTTTTTTTTCAATGCTTGTTTTTTTTTTCTTTTTTTTCTGCTTTAAAAATCTAGAGAAAACCAAAAGAAGTTGTTTTCCCGGCACCCTTCCTGCTTTTGCCCTTAGTCAAGAATAGAAACTGCAATGTTCTTAATTTTGACATAGTCTTTCAAACCTGTTTAATGTGGCTGCCTTTTTCTTTGTTCAAGACGAAGACCTCAAAGGCAAAATATCAAACCTGTCCTAATAGAGGCCATTTGGTCTGTTATAAGCCTCTTTCTGTCCCCTTCTCCTACCTTATTTCTCTATGACTTTGCTCCATCTGTCACCCCTCCACCCCAAACTGGTGCCTGTTCCATAGCCCACTTGCCCTGCCATCGTTGTCTCTGGGCCACTTGGAGCCTCTGACAAATCAGTCAGGCTGTTCTTCTCTCAAGAGTCTCTGAAAGCCTGCAGAAATAAGCCTTACCACTAGAGCCTTTCCTCAGAACTAGGGAAATATCAAATGTCACTTGTTTTTGTTTTGGACAGTAAAAAACTCTATTTCAAATGCTAGGATTTAGACTCTGTCTAGATCTGACATCTTGAACACTGTGCCCTCAGGTAGATTCCTAACTCTGGCAGAAGGTTGGATCCAAAGAAGTTGTAATAGACAAGAAAACCACCAGGGGACAGAGCGGAGCTATCACTAAGCATCTCTCCTCTAGGGCACTGCCTTTCCATATACTCAGCCCAGCTTGTTAGATGGATTGTTACTGTGGTATGGCTAAATATCTGGTCACATTTGGAAGCAGTCCTGCTTGGCTTTCATTTGCTCTTAGATATCAGCATATCTGATTGCTGCCAAGCCATATTAGAAATGTTTACTTTTTTTTTTTTTTTTGGTACTACAAAAGCTTTTTGCCACCACCTCTAAACCCCCAGGGGCAACATGTGCCAATGAATAGCATCCATGCCCCACATATGCATACACCTAGCCAGATGTCAAAGATAAGGACCGCCCAAGTTGCTTTACGAAGAGCTAATTTACTGGACATTTAAAGAATTCCCAAACAGAACTAGAAGAACGGTATGAATTTGAACAGCTCTAATAAATTAAGCAATTTCCATGAAAACCTACTGAAGGCTAAAAAGCAACAGGACATTGTCAACCAACACTAGACACCCTCTGTCATGATAAAAGGGCTCATTAATGAGGAGTCTTCTTTAGGGGTGGAAGTAAAGGAACCTAAGCCATTTTTCAAAGCAATTGAAAAGCATCGCCCTGGATCCATTCCTTGGCAGTGGGCTCAGGAAGCCAATATATGGCTTCTTTTAGCTCATCACCAGTATTTCTGCTGCATCTGAATGCAAAGTGGTTGGCTTTGACTTTAGTCTGAACTTCATATAGCCTTGGATGATTTTCCCCCATCTGCCTCCAGGAAGGAAGAATGTTACTGCCTTAATGGAAATCATGAAGATAAAATAATGCTCAAGATATTTCCAAATAAAATGTTCCCAATATTGGGTGTCTCTGGCTATTTCATATTGAGAGTTTAATCATGGTGCACTGTAACTCATTAATTCATTTGCACAGCCAACATGCATTGAGTACCTAGTATGTGTGAGACACTGTGTGAGGTTTTAGGAATAGGCCTTTAAATGAGACAGGCATTGCACTCAGCTGATCAGGAACAACAGATGTTACACAGTTAAAATGACAGGTGTGATAATTGGTAAAGATGGGCAAGGTGAGATTTGACCTTATGGCAGGAAACTAGGAGTGTAAATAGAAATGTTTTAGCAGAAAACTGAATAAGTTGCAGTTGGCAAAGTGAAGAAAGTTGAGGTATAGATTCTCAGAAGCACATCAAACCCAGTCATGAAGATCAGACTTGGGGGTGATTCAAAATGACTTTTAGAGTGAACTGAAAAGGAATCTTTTGGCTTGATAGTGCCTGGAACTCTTCTCCCTCTTGACTAAGCTTCAGGGATGCTGAGGAATTCTGCTACAGCCAGCTCCCTCTAGGCCAGACTCCTGAAACAGAGAATATGTCATCAATGTGACATGGCCACACCTTGACCTGTGGAAGAGCCACACTGCTATACAGTGGAAGGGAAGCTGGCTTTTGCATCTAAGCTCTATGGTTCACCAGCAGCTTCTCTTTGAGGGTGATTCTTTCCTGGCCTGAAATTCCTGCTAGTTTTCTACTAAGGATACAGCTGCCTTCCCTGAGCTTCAAGAGGCTGCAAATATTAAGTATTATTTGGTATCAGACTGTACTAATATGGCTCATAAACAAGTTATCCTGTACTTGTTCATAAACTGAACAAGTACAGGATAACAGAATAAGTACCATCAAAGAGAGCAATGACTATCTCAGGAGACTAAAGGAAGACAGCATCCTGAGCACGATGATTTTTCTAAATGAAAAATCTTATTGTTACCTTTTAAATGATCAATCCAAATATAAGAAACTAAAATGGCACCAAAGGGTCTGCAGAGGAAAGTAGGCCACTCTTCTGCTCCTCTGCTTTGAAACTGGTTCAACTCACTGAAACCAACTGTTGTCAAATCATTGTTTGTTTGAAATTTGCATGATGGTGGTATTTACACCACAGAATTTATCAAGCTCATCGTATAGGGCTTTTGATCCCAAAAGAGTTAGTCCATCAATTACCCAATGCCTTTGTCTCAGTCCTCTAGTTCGCTGTCCCAAATATCAACCTCTGTTAACAATTTCTTTTGTATTATTCTAGGAATATTTTGTGTACATATCACATACCACACACATGTTCTCACAACATATACCTTTTTAAAATTACAAACATTAATGTATAACACACATCGTTCTGTATCTCACTTTTTTTCACTTATCTGTATACATATACCTGCCTCAACTTTTCAGCAAGTGTGTAGCATTCAATTGTATGGAGGGGCTGAACTCAATTAACTAGCATCCTCTAAAGGAATGTTTGGGTTGTTTCAATCTTTTTGTTATAACAAGTAAGGCCACAATGAATAACATTACACCCACTTCTTGAGCATAGAATGTTAATTTTCATTGAACAGGTACTTATCAAGTTCCCGCCCCAGAAAGAAACATGGGTGGTAGTAAAACAAAGATTCTTTTAAGTTTCCTCAAATTATTTTGTGAAGAATAGTAATCTGGGACAGATACATGAGCTGATTCCAACTTCTCCATTTTATATCTAAAATAAACATATTAATCCAGCAAGAGAGAATGTGCATTAATGTGTACACGCAGTCATAATAAAAAGCAGAAGGTGATAAATGCAATTGCAAATTCTTTAATGAAACATTTTGGAAGCTCAGGGGGGACAAAGTCAATTCTGAATAAAGAACCAACAAATGTCTGTGGACATACTCAGGCTTGATGAATGAGAAGTGTGCAGGAACCACACTGTACATATGTTGATATCCCCTACAGAGCCAAGTATATTTCTATGTTTTTAAAAAGAGCTCAGTAACTATTTAGAAATTGATTTATGTTAGTCATAAACAAATGTTTCCCGATGCCAAGAGACATTGCACAGAGAAAAGTAATTATGGGAAAGGCTGTGGATTAGACTCACCTGGAGCGGTTTTAGAATAGATTTATTGTCTGCCTGGAAATTATGACATTAGAGCCTGGGTAAAGCAATGCATTGGATTAGATGACCTTGTCAAGTCTCAGTCAACCTGGTGATTTTATCCGCTTGGAAAGTACCACACCCCCACACACATCTAGTTTGTCCCTGGCAGCACAAATATGGTTCTATGGTACAGAATGTGCAAACTCTTGGCCCAGCCCACCCCAGACTGAGGCTTAATTGCATGAGAGACATGCCCATGAGTCCCCACCTTCTTTACAGTTAGGATACCCATTGTCACTGACCTTTGTTCTTTTCCCAATCCAGCATACCAAGAGGCTTGGAGTCAAGGCCAGTAGTACACTCTTGGTCAATTTGACATTTATCCTAGCACAGGCTCGCCAGTCTCACAATCCAGAAAGCACATCCAATGTTCAGAAAAAGCATCATCAGTGTGGAATGATCCTCTTGTGAAATCTCATCACTTTGACAGTTTCCTAATACAATTCCTATAACTAAACACTTAGCTGCTGTTTCTGAAGACAGATTTTACCAAATGAGTCAGTGAATGAATGACAAAAAAAAAAAACGTAAATTTTTGTATGTCTAAAGTCCACATATATGTAATAACCCATCTTACGTCAGGCACAAAAACAGATAATCTACTTAACATCATTGTCTCATCATTAATGACTCAGAGACAGGTCGGCAAAAGAGTGGCAATGTTTATGTCATCTGACATGGAAAAATTGGGAAGTTCCATTTAAACAGTGTTTTGGTTAATAGAGAGTTACCATATATTACTTTTGGAATAGACATCTTTAGAGGATAAGATGCAGGCAAATATTTAATTCTAAAGGTATATGGGATCTAATATAAAATTTGATAATTTAATAGGCATTTCTGGATTCAACTAGGACATAGGTTTTCTGTTATGAGTCCCATTTATTCAATCCTCATTTCTCCAAATGTGATACTTGATCAGGGGCATCTGGAAGCTGATTAGAAATGTAGAATCTCTGCCCCCATCCTAGACCTATGAATCAGAATTTGCAATTTTATAAGATCCCCAGTTGATTCATGCTTTGGTTTGAATGTCATGCAGGATTCGTGTATTGGGAACTTAATTCAGAAGGCCACATGTTAAAGCAATTTGGGGATGAGATCTTTGGGAAATGATCTTTGGGAGACTTTATGAATGGATTAATATGTCCATGGATGAATGGATTCATGGCTTATTGTGGGAGTGGCTTTGTTATAAAAGAGAGCTCTCTCTGGCATGCCTGCTCTGTCTCACCATGTGATGTCCTGCATCACCTCAGGACTCTGCAAGAAATCCCTCACCAGGTGCAGCCCCTTAACCTTGAATTTCCCAGCCCTCCAGAACTCCAAGAAATAAATTTCTTCATAAATAAGCAGGCTGTGACATTCAAGGATATCAACAGAAATGTACTAAGAATTCACATGAGTATAAAGTCTGAGAAACACTGTCTCCTTAAAAGATCTACAGTTGTTAGAAGACTAAATTACCCAGCTTCAAATTAGAATCTCCCAATTACATTGAACTTGAGGGATTAAAATACGATCCATGAACATTTTCCCATCATTATTCATTTGAGATAGCCAGAGTATCCCTCGCTCCAGATACCTTCCCTATCACCCAAGTCTGCCAGTTGATGCTCCCTCCCCCTTAGTCCTTCTCTTTCTGTGGCACCCTCTCCTTGGCACAGGTACAAAGAGCTATATCTTCTGATTCTAATACATTTAAGGCAACTCTTGGCAAGACCTTCTCCTGGTGATGGCTCGGGGCTGCCTCTTTAATAATCTAACTCAGATTATTAAGACTTTATCCCTCATGTCTTCCCTTTGGTCCTTCCACCACCCACATCAAACCTACCAGCTTTTCTTCCACCATCTCTGGAGCAATCTCTATGACTTCCAGTGACAGCAAGGTGACTAAGTAAAGCAAACTGTCCCAAGGACTTACAGTGCTATTCTTTTCTCCCTCACAACATGTACTTTGCTATAAATTTCTGGAGTTGAAACTTTGTCATTATTATCTCTGCTAAATCCCTAATGGCAAAAAGAGAGAGGAATGTGTCTACCATGTAGAGTGACTTTCACATACAAAGGTTTTGAGGATGGAAGGAACTTGATATCTTTGAGAACTAAAAAAAAAACAAAAAACAGTATGGCTGATATGGATAGAGAGCTGTCCTATCACAAGAAAGAGATGGGCAAGCAAAAGGCTTGGGAGTGATTCTGAGACTTTAGGGTGCTTAAGAATCACCTCAGAAGCTTGTCACAATAAATGTTCCAGATCCCACCTGCAGACTCAGTGCCTGTAGGATTGGTAAGTGTAGAATCTACGTTTGGAGATTCTGTAGCCCATGACTCACAGACCACTCTTGGAAAAGGACTGGTCCAGCTGTTCTCAAACTTGGCTGCATGGTGCAGTCATCTCAGGAGCCTTAGAAAGACTGATACCTATGCTCACCACCACCACCACCTTGAAATTCTGATACAATTGATCTGATGTGTAGACATGGAAGCTACCTATTTAAAGATCCCCAGAGACTCTAATATACAGTCACATTTGAGTACTGGTCTATAGCAACTTCTCCAAAGGGCAGGCCTGAGTGGAACATCTTAACAGGCAGACAGAACAATAAAAGGGAATGTTGGTTCAGAAAGAGGGAATGAAGACATGGAAATATTCCAAAGGTAAGCCTTGCTTTCCTCATAATTTAATCATTCAGTCAATGAGCATTTGTCTGGCTGTCAGGTAACCTTCTTGGTCTCATAGGTCTCAGGTCCACTCTTGCATGCAAAGCAAGGGAATCAGAACCCAGGATTGAGTTCTCTGCATTTAGGTCTTAAGCCTCCCCTTGAAATAGTTTCTGAGGCAGCATCATGTTTCCTCTTAGAAATAAAGGATGCAAATACCCCAAGATTTCTTGTAGATTATAAGACTGATTCACTTTCCATGAATAAATAAGAGAAAAAAACATACTAAGAGGAAAAAAAGATTTATAAATGATATGCCTTCAAAACCTTCCAAGGTCATGCAGCTTTAATGTCTGGATGATTTTGAGAGGAAACTTGCAAATTGAGCTGCACCTGAACTCATAATAAAAGGGCTTTAAATTAATTGACTGTCTCAGGGTTTATCTGACAATAGTCCTGGACTGCATATCCAAGTTGAGGCTAGCCAAGGTCACAGTGGCATTTGCCCTTATTCTCAGGCTGCTCCAATTTGAGAGCAACTCCAAGGCAGACCATTCATCATGGAGATTATCTTCATAGGTGGAGCCTTAATAAAGATAGAGGATCCATGCTCCTCACAAAATACTTGCCATGTAATTTTTGTCACCTAATTTTCCAAATTGGCTGGAGACTGATGTACGGATTAGCTGGGTCCTAGGGGTTTGATTCAATCACATAGATCTGCTCAGACCAGATTGCCTCTTGTGGTAGTAGCTTATAACCCATGTCTCAGAAAACAGCAGAGAAAGAAGACTAGCTGTTCTCAAGGTCATGGTGAGATGAATTCCAGGCAGAGCATACCTTGGCCTCTGCCCACTCCCTTCCTCCTTTACCTTCTTAATATGAACAGGACATACTGAGCATCTGGTTTTGCCCATTACTTTCCAATGGTTTCCATTCAATCCTTGTAACAGCTGTCTGGCATAGCAAATTATTAACCTCATTTTTCTCAGAAAAAGCTACTACACTTTCAAGAAACCAACAGACTTGCGGGTGATGAGTGATTTCACATCCAGGCACAGAGATCATCTTCTATGTCCTTTTCACTCCTTGAATAACCAGAATACACAGGGGAGCACCTAGGAGAGTGGAAGAGCCTTTCTCCTTTCTTTCCTTGCTTTCTTCCTCCCTCTCCACCTCCCTTCCTTCTTTCCATTCATTGTTTTCACATGCAATAAAATTTGAGAACCTTGGGTAGGTTACATTTGAGTAACTACCACCACAATCGAAATAAAGACTATTTCCAATCCCTCCACCTAACACGCATATTCTCTCATATCTCCTGCAGCTCACCTTGCTCTAGCTCCTGTTCCTGGCGATAACTAATGTATTTTCTGTATCTATGTTTTTTCCCCTGATAGGGTGTCATATAGATGGAATCATGAAATATAAATCTTTTAGTATCTGGCTAGTTTTACTCAGCATAATGCTTCTGGTTTCTCCTGTCTTGTTGAGTATAGCATTTTGGTCTATTCTCTTTTACTGCTGCATAGCTTTTCATTATGTGGATATACCACAGTTTGTTCAACCATTCCCAGTTGTTGTACACTTGGGTTGTTTCATTATTTTTCTTTTATTATTATAATAAAGCTGCTACATACAGTCAACTTTTTTTAACTGCTCTGACATTCAGTCCTTCTCAAAGGCAAATTTTTTTTTTTTATTTCACTTGGGTAAATGTCTAGGGAAAGAACTTCTGGGACACATGGTAAGCATATGTTTATAAAAAATTTACTAAACTGCTTTTCAAAGTGACTGGACCATTTTGCCCTCTCAGAAGCAATGCATAAGAGTTCAAGTTTCCCCACATCCTTACTGCTACTTCATATGAACAGCCTTTTTCAATTCAGCCAATCCAGGGAAGTGTGGTAGCAAATTGTAGTTTGAATTTGTGTTTCCTTTGTTATGATTTGGATATGAGGTGTCCCCCAAAGGCTCCTGTACTAAAGCAGGAATATGCAGAAATGAAATAATTAGACTATGAGATAAAATGGCTTAATAATTTGGATGGACAACTAAGTGGTAACTGTAGGCATGTGGAACATGGCTGGAGGAAGAAGGTCACTAGGTGTGTGCCTTTGGGGTTTATATTTCCCTGGTGTCTGTCTGTCTCTCTCTGTCTCTGTCTCTGTCTCTGTCTCTCTCTCTCTCTCTCTCTCTCTCTCTCTCTCTCTCTCTCCTTCCTGACCACCATGAGCAGAGCAGCACTCCTCCACCATGCCCCCCCATGCCCCCCCATATTCTGCCTCACCTTGGGCCCAGAGCAATGGAGGTGGCTAACCATGGACTGAAACTCGGAAACTGTGAGCTGAAAATAAACTTTCCTTTTCTAAGTTGTTCTTGTCATATATTTTGGTCATATCAATGAAAAGCTGACTAACATATCCTTAACAACTGAAGATGTTGAGTATGTGCTCACTGACCATTTGTGTATGTGGTAGTGTCTGTATTATGTCCTTTCATTGAACTTGTGTGTGTGTATGTGTATATTTTATATATATATATATATATATATATATATATATATATATATATATATATATATATATATGATGTTTTATTGCTTTGCTAGCAAAGGAGAAAAACCAGGGACTGTCCCAGAGGCTGTCAGCAGGAACAGGAGTTTTTTAAAGAGGTAATTCAAAGGCTACATTCCTCCTGGTCTCTGTTGGCTTGTAATTCTCTTGTTAATTTGGGAGTCATTTTTTTAGATCTTCAGGTGCCATCTCCTAGTCTACTTTGTTCCTGTGGTGGGTGTGTGCTCAAGAACAGACAACTCTGTGTAGGATGGGGGAGAAAGGTAACCTGCCCCACCTCCCACACACACCTTGAGATTAGAGAGGGAGAGAGAGAAATAAACATGTCTGTTTTAAAAATAAATCACAGTGGCAGAGCAGCAAGGGCTAAATTCAAAGCATAAAATTGACCACTGCTACTTTTCCCCACTGTCAATTTCTACATTCCATTTCAATGGAAAAAAAAAAAGGTGATTATGTCTCCAAGCTGCTTCCTGCTGAAAGAGTGTGAATTTGGGGGAAATGACCCTGTTCTCAGGTGGGGCATGGACAGTAAAGGGTATCAGCAACAGGGCAGTCCAGAGATCTATGGTGGCACTTGGTGGGATAAGGCATACATAGGGAAAGGATCATGCAGATGGCCAAGGGTGTCATGACTTTACTGTATTCAGTTTCCTTTTTCTCAAAGTGAACCAACATGGAGCAACCTGTACCCTTCAGGAAGAGAAGTGGGAGTTCCCTAAAGCTTAGGCAGCTGCTGGGATGGTCCTTCAGTCCCTTCCTTTACTCACATGAATAACTCCTCCAGTTTGACCAAGGGCAAACTCTCTGGTCTCCTAACTCTCCAGCATTTGGCTCTTAACAAGTCCACCAGCCACCTTGCTTCCTAAGTATGGAAGTGGGGTTGCTTAGAGCTCTGTCCTGCCCAGGAAAGCTGGGCTGCTCTGGGGTAGTATCTGGGGTAGATTTCTTTTTCTTTTTTTAATTTGCAAGTGTTCTTCAAATATTTGGGGTACAATTTCTTACCTAACATGCATTGTTCAAATGATTTCTTACAGTCCACATACTTTTCATTTATTAACAGTATCTTCTAAAGAACAAGTGATTCTAATTATGAAGTCCGTGTTTTCAACATTTTAATTTTTGATCTGTGCTTTTTGTATCATACCCAAAAAGCTCTAACTCAAGGTCACAAAAATTTGTCTTGTGTTTTCTTTTAGAAGTTTAATACTTTAGCTCTTAAATTTAGGTGTTAGATCTATCTTGAATTATTTATAAGGGGCAAGGTATGGATCCAGATGAATTATTTTGCATAAGGACATCATATTTTAAAGTACCATTTACTAAAAATACTGTCCCTTCCCCATTGAATTATCTTGGTAACTTCATTGAAAATCAGTTCATCTTATATGTATGAGTCTATTTTTGGACTCTCCTGTTCCACTAATATCTGTTTTTAGACTTTTTGTTCTTATGTCAATACTACACTGACTTAAATATTGTAGCTTTCTAACTAGGAAATTTTAAGTGCTCCAATGTTTTTTTTTTTCTTTTCAAAATTATTTTGGCTATACTAGAAACTTTAAATCTCATATAGAATATTATGTCAGGGATTTGATTTTGCTCTACTTAGAAGCTAACAAGATATCCTATAATTGTTTGAATGCTGGCGGAAAACTTAAGACAAAGTACTTTAGTACTTGCAGTACAGCAGGCATAAGCATCATCATCTGCATAATTATTTATAATTATTTAACAAGTTTCCCTTGTTCCCATGGGTAAGACCATGAGAAATTTCAACATTGAAACCAAAGTTTTAAAATGAAACCTGAATCTCTGCTTCTGCTAGCTTCAGAGTTTTTCTATTTCTGCTGGCTAGTTGCAGCTCTTAATGGTGGGGCTATGCCCTCCAGTGTTGCAGCAGACCCCATTGTGGTAGAGCAAAATGGGAACTTGAGCAGTTTAAGAGCTGATGGGCTGTGATTTTGCACACTGACACACAGCAGCTCTGCTTATTAACATTTCACCATGGAAGTTTGCAGTGGCTGACAGGTACCTGTAAAAGATAATGACAGTAACATAAGCAGGAAACAAAGCAATAGGAACAGAATAATCCCCCTCTAGGCTTAGTGCAGTAAAAAATCCCTAAGCTGTATAAACTAAGAGTCCCTAGGCCATTGAAAAGGTTGTGCCCATATAGGCAATGTAGAATGCACCATCCAATAGAATGGCACAACTCTCTTGCCTTGATGTACCCAACACTTGCTTACGTATAAAAGTAAGAGCCTTTCTGTGCTCGGGGCTCACACTTTGGGAATCATCCTTCTAAACCATGTTGCTTCTAGATCTTGATGTCTTACCCTCATTTCCAGTTACACCATCACCTGACTGTCAACTTTTAATTCTTTCTGGGTTCTGGTCTTGTGAATTCAAAGAATGAACTCAAAAGACCAGGATAAGTGAGTGTAACAGTAGGATTTATTGAAGAACAGAAACAGAACTCTTGCAGTGCAATAGCAGGTTTTCCATTAGAGTATGCTAATCTAGGCATTATATAACACTTGGTTAACTGCTATTGGTTCAATATGCTAATTAGGGCTTGGAAACATACTAACACTATTGGTCAATTATTGAGTCCCAACTTTCATTCAAGTCTGCCCCACTTCCATTTTCTTAAGGGCAGCTCAGAAAGCTGGAGGTCGAGGTAATGGGATGAGGCTGCACTGTGGTGTGAGTGGGCTTTTGTAAGAGTGCCCAGGTCTGGCTGTTGAAGGATGACAAGTTGGTGTGCCTTGGGTCACATGGGCAGTGGCTTGCCTTGCCTATATGGTGAGTCTGATGAAGCTGCCAGCAGTTCTTACCACCTGGATTCCAACCCATCTGGGCTGCCACTCCAGTGCTCCACTGCTCTGCTACAACTTCTCAGCAGGGACAAGCAGGCCAGCTGCGTGGCTTGGCAGCCAGGACCCATGTCAACATGATCCCAGGTAGACGTCCGCACATGCAATGATTGTACTGCAGGAGAGAATCGCTGAGTTTGAGGAGTCCCTTCTTTCTTTCTTTCTTTTTTAAAAATCAAGCTGTAAGCAAGCTTACTTTTTGTCCCAGAGTGAAACATCAGCTCATCCCTCAAAATTGTTCACTGACAGAACAACCTGAGAAGTGGCTTCAGTAAAGAATGGTCAGGACCTTGTTTGTTGGTCTTCCAAAAAAGATGTTTAGGAATGCAAGAGACATATGGAGGAGTAGTACTGAACAAAAATTTTGAATAACCTGTCAATTTCTATAAAAGAGGTTACTGAAAATTTGATTGGAGATCATGTTGGATCTAAAGATCAGTCTGGAGAGAATTGCCACAATGACAAAGTAGAGTCTTCTGATCCATGAATATGGTATACTTTTATACAGGTCATCATAATTTCTCTTAAGCTTTTATCTTGCACATATTTGAAACACTTAACTTCTAAAAATTTGACATTTTTATGGTACTCTTAACCTTCATTTTTCATTTAATCATTGTTAGTATATAGAAATATAATTGATTTTTACATACTGACCTTGGCTTTTTGAAATTTGCTAAGCTTTTTAGTTCTAATAACATTTTAGTATATTCACTGGAATTTCTTTGTAAGTGATAGTGTCATTGGTGAATAAAAGATAGGTTAATTTATCTTTAATTATATCTGCCTTTTATTTCCTTTGCTGGTCATTGTGCACTGGCTAAGATCTCCAACTTAATGCTGGATAGAAATGGTAGGCGTGGAGCCAGGCACAGTGATACACACCTATAATCCCAGTTACTCTGGAAGCTGAGACAGGAGGATCACAAGTTTGAGGCCAGCCCAAGCACCTTGTTAAGACCCTATCTCAAAATAAAAATAGAAAGGGCTGGGTATATAGCTCACTGGTGGAGCAATCCTAGGTTCAATTCCCAGTATTACAGGGTGAGGAGGGAGAAATGGTGGGAATGACCATTCTTGTTTCATTAACAAACTTAAAGGAAAAGCACTCGAGTAACCATGTTAAGTTTAATGTTAACTGAGGGTTTCTACAAATGCTCCCTTTCACACTGAGAGATTTCCCTACTGTTCCAGATTTTCTGAAAGATTTATATCATAAGTGACTACTAAATTTTATCAAATGCTTTTTCCAGGTGTGTGTTTTTAAATTTATTCTGTTGACATGGTGAATTAACTTAATTGATTTTGAATGTTGAAACAACTTAGCATTGTTATAATAAATCCTACTTGGTCATGACTTATTCTTTTGGCATATTGCAAAACGAAATTTGTTAAAATTTTGTTAAGGATTTTTATATCTATGTACATTTGGGACATTTGTTTGTAGTGTTCTTCTTCATATATTTTTGTCAATTTTTGGTGTTAGGGTAATTAACTTGGGCTTCATCAAGTGAGTTGAAAAGTGTTCCTTTGCCTTTTAATTTTGGGGTAAAATTATTTTTATTTTGTCCTTGAATTTCTAGTAAAATTCACCAGTAAAGTCATACAGTCTTGGAATTTACTGGAGAAGAAATTTTTATCTGTGAATTCAATTATTTAAATAGAGACAAGGCTATTCTGGTTATTGATTTCATCTTGGATGAGCTTTGACACTTTTTATATTTCAAAATATTTGTCCATTTCATCTAGGTAATCAAATTAATAAGCATAAATTATTTATAATATTTCATTATTGTATTATAATGTCTTTAGGATTTATAGGAATTTTCCTCTTTCGTTCCTGATATTGGTAATTTGTACATTGTTTCTTTTGTTCTTAATAAATTTGACTACAGGCCTTTCAATATTATTGATATTTTCAAGCTTTAAAGGACTAACCTCTAAAAGACAGAAAATAAAAGAAAATCTCAAGTACAACAAATGGAGCAGAAATGCAGAACAGTGTCATATGCTGATGGCACAAGGCAGGCAGTGGCATCCAGAGTGTGACTTCTATGGGTCTTGGGGACATCCTTGGTGCCAGATTGCATTTTTTTCCCAACTCATAGAAAAAAAGCAATAAAACTTCCTGGCAGATTTTTGTTTCTGCTTAGGATATGGAAAGTTGCACACAAATGTTGTTCCTACCTTAACAGTGAGAATAAATCGGCTGAATAACTTCCAAAATCATAGATTTTATAGCTCATCAGAGAACTAATATTGCAAAGGAAACCAATGAGTCAAAATTGGAGGATAGGCAATAGAACAGAAAGAGACCCTGTCTGAAGCACAATATGTTGGGTCTGCCAAAGTCAGAGAGCAGAACAGGAAATTGAGAGCAACGTTCTATTCATCTGGGTTCTACAGAGATTAAGAACTAATAAGAGATATAGATATGTGATAGATGGATAGATAGATATATAGATAGATAGATAGAGACCTAGATAGAGACATAGAAAGATATATACTCATATACAGGTAGGTTGTGTGTGTATGTGTATGTAACTCAAGGAAGCTTAATACAAGGAATTGGCTCATGTGGTTGTAGGGGCTGAAAATTTCCAGTATCTGCAGTCACTAAACTGGAGATCCAAGAGAGTTGATATGCAAGTTTCAATCCCAGTACAAGTCTGAAAGCACTAGAAGACTGTTATTCCAGCTCACTCTTTTATCCTATTGAGGCCTTCAAAGGATTGAATGAGGCCATCCACATTCAAATGCTAATCTTATCTCTAAACACCTTCACAGACACATACAGAAATAATATTTAAATAAATATCTGGGCACCCCATAGTCTAATCAAGTTGATACATAAGTAACCATTACAAATTCCAAAGGCACTCTGAGTCTTGGAAAGAGTACAAGACTGTGGTCATCTGCACAGGGAAGGGTCAGAAGGTCTGAGAGATGACATCTCTAAGGCTCAGGTGCTCAAGGCTGCTAATGTCTGAGGCCAGGGCAGGGGAGGAGAGAGAAGCCCCACAGGGAATGCAGGCCTTACACTAGGTAGGAGGCAGTGCCTGCCTGTGGCTGGGGGAAGAGGCAGGAGAGCTGAGAGAGACCCCTTTTATGGGAATACTGGGCCCACTGACAGAAGGAGGCAGAGAAGAAGAACTAAACAAACTTTACAAACACTCAGATGCCAACACCTCCTAGAGGAAAGGATTTGATTCTGCCCTCTAATTATTTGAAGTCTATGGTGAATAAAATCTAATAAAAATAACATCAAATCCCAGATCTACCTAGATTGGCTCAATCCTTCACACTGGTGATCTGAGAGAAGAAGATCTGTGAATTTTGGGGGGCATTGATAGTATTTACTTTGGTGCATATTATTATTTCCCACATCACATCTGTCATTCAAGAAAAATTTACAAGCATGTGAAAAAGCATGAAAGGTGATCCATCTTCAAGGTAGGACATGGTCAAAAACAAACAAACAGATTCAGAGTTGCCACAGACAACACACATGAACAGAGTGGATAATGCAATAGGGAGAGGAAAACTCAACACAAAAGTCCAAGCAGAAGGGTCAGAAATAAAATATATGAGAGATCAATCCATCGATTGATCAATAGATAGAGATATACAGTGTGTGTGTATGTGTGTGTGTGTGTGTGTATAGAAGAACTGAAAATTCTTTCAACACATTTATCAGCAAATTGGAATAACTGGGAAAAGAATAGGTGATTGGTAGAAAATGTCTAAACAAGAACAAGGAGAGAAAAGGAGCAAGAAATAAAACAGAACTATTCTAGTTATTATTGCTGTGATAAAAAGAAAAATCACTGCAAACTTAGGGTGTAGACCCATATGAACAGTCAATTGATTTTTCACAAGATGTCAAAGCATTCCATGGGGAAGGAGGGAGGTCTTTTAAGGAAATAGTGCTGAAACAACTGTATATTCATAAGGTAAATTTAAAAACCTCAATCCTGACCTCAAATAATACACAAAATTAATTTGATATGAATCATAAATCTAAAAGCAAAAGCTAGAATGATAAAAAAAAACTTCAAGACTATTTTCATGACCTTGAGTTGTTCAAAATTTCTTAGCCGATGCTTTCCAGAAAGCATTAACCATTCAATAAAAATTGATAAATTGGACTCCGTGAAATTAAAAAGTTTTGCTCTTCAAAATACATTAACAAAAAAGGGCAAGCCATGAAGTGTCAGAAACTGTCCACCATATGTATATCTGACAAGGCAGTTGTATCCAGAATACATAAATAACTCCTACAAGTTAATAATAAAAAGATAACTGAATTTTTCAAAAAAGGAACTTCTCAAGGTGAAAGGAAAGTGACCATAACACTCGGAGCAACCAAGAGATCTTTATTGCAGCAGTGCAAAAGAGAGAGAAAGAAAGAGCGGAGAAAGAGAGAAGAAGAGGAGAGGAGAGAGTGAGTGGGAGAGAAAAAAAGAGAGAGCAAGAGACAGAAAGAGAGACAGAGAGAGCAAGAGCAAGAGAGTGGGGCCCGGCAGGAGGGAGTTTTTTATAGCCCAAATCTAATGGGATCTCTGGGTCTGCAAACTGCCTTGTTGGTGTACAGCAATTGGATCATACAGTGTCATCTTCTGCCTTCAGGCAGATGGGCCAGGGGCTAGATGTGGGTTTCTGTTGCACCAGACGGGTGGGAGTCGAGTGTTCAGCTTTGAGTGGGCTTGAGTGTTCAGCCTTGAGTGGGGTGGAATGTTCAGACTTGACGCAAACAGGTGTTAAAGGACCAAACAGAGGGGGGTTTGAGCATGTGGGTTATTCTGCAGTTAACATTCGTTCAGCCTGCCCTGCAGACAACTTAGTTCAGCCTGCCCTGCACCTAACACAAGGGAAGATATATTTACTGTGTGTGTATACATATATATCAGACAAAAGACTGAGTTTCAGAAAATATAAATAACTCCCACACATCAGTAGTAAACACAAACCATCGGATTAAAAATTGGACAAATGATTTGAACAAATACTACATTTTTCCCCACAAAAATGTGACCAATAAGCACAAAAAATTTCCTCAACACCATTAGTTATTGTGGAAATTTAAATTAAAGCCAAAATTAGAGACCACCACACATTTATTAGAATAGCTTAAGATGAAGACAAATGACTGCATGAAAGAATATAGACCAACTAGGACTCTAACTCAACATATGTTGTTTTGGGGAACCTAAAACAGTTTCATCACTTTGTAAAAAATTACAACAGTTACTTATAAAATCAACATCCCTATTTCTCATCAAAACCTTTCAAAGATATTTATTTAAGAGAAATGAAAACATTTATCCACAAAAATTTTAGATATTCTAAGTACATATTGTCTGTATGTATTACAGTCCCAAACTGAAAACAATCCAGGTGCCATTAATAGAAGAAGGGATAAACACATTCATAAAATGGAATGCTACTCAGCAATGAAAAGGAACAAGCTACTGGCCCATGCAACATATGGAAGGCTCTTTAAAATAGGCTAAACAAAAGAAGCTGGACATAAAAGAGCGAGTATCATATGATCCCATGAAGTTTGGGAAGAGGCAAAAACTAATCTATGGTGATGGGATCACAACAGTGGCTGTTGGAGTAAGGGAAGCTTGACTGAGGGATACAAAGATACTTTCTGGGTTGATGGAAATTTTCTATCCTCGATAGGGCATGGGTTACTCAAGCATTCACATTTTTGAAGACTAATCAAGTTGTACATAGTTTGCACATTTCACTGCATGTGCCTCATTAAAAAGGACAAAAATGCTGTCACTGCTACATAGGACTGGTTTATAAGTAGCCACTGGTTCTGTAGGAGATAGAGGAATAACTAAGGCAGGAGTAACTAAGACAGTAACTAAGTCAAGCCATTGAAAGCCACAATATTTTTATGACTTAGAAACTCCAAAATGTGGTGAGCCGTGTTTGTAGACCGTTGCCGCCATTAGAAGATGGCGCCGGTCTCCGTTGTGGATCTCGGTAAACAACTCCTTACTAGGGAAAGTTGGCGCGCTGTCCCTCAACACCCTATGAGAAAACCCCGCGTGGCAGCTTTGGATTGGACTTGAGTAAGCTTTATTAGGCTATGCTTGGGCGCTCGGCGGGGGGTCGCTAGAAGATGATACTTGAATCAAGGCCTGAATAAACTGCTGAAAGAAGAATCCTGTGTCGTGTTTTCCCTTGCCGGCGAGGGGGCGCGACACCAAAAAGCACTACAAGTCAAGGTTCTGGACTGGAAGTTCAGGGGCTACTTGAAGGCATGTGCAAAACAGAGATGGGAGACCAGACAGACAGGAACCAGAAGATGAAAATTCCCTACCCAAAAGAAGATGTCTGGCTCCAAATAAGTCTGCAAACCAGTATTCCAAATCACAGAAGAAATAAATTCCAAGCAAAGTGGCAAAAAAAAAATCAACACTCAGATCATGAATTTATCCCTATACAATTAATCTTATAGAGCAGTGTTGCACAGACAGGATTCTCAACCACAGATCTGAAAGAGGGACGGGGATATAGCTCAGTCATAAGATAACTTGCCCAAGTACCATGCATGAGGCTGTGGGTTCAATCCTCAGCATCAGCACAAAAAACAAAGAATGAAAGAATCTCATCCATAAAAGATTGAACAATAAAATGGCTTTCCATAATGTGTTAGTCAACTTGTTATCACTATGACCAAAATACCTGGCAAGAACAACTAATAGAGGAAAGATTTATTTTAACAAACAGCTTCTGATGTTCAAGCCATGACTAAGACAGAAACATCACACTGGAAGGACGTGGTGGAGTAAAACTGCTCAGTTCATGGCACCCGGGAAGCAGAGACTGAGGATGAGGGGAGAAAAGGGTCAGGGACAGATAGGGTCCCCAAGAGCACACCCTCACAGACTCAGTTCCCCAGCCATGCCCCACCTGCCCACAATTACCACCCAGTAGTTCATCTGGCTGTCATTAATCCATTTGCTGGACTCATCCACTGATGAGTCAGAGCCCTAATCATTGCCTAAAAGCCCCACCTCTGAATCTTGCAGCATTGGGGATCCTGCTTTGAACACAGGAATTTGGGGAGAAATTCCAGATCCACACCAAAACAATATTTTTAATGTTGACATAAAAACAAAATTGGTAAACATGAAAAAGAACCAGTTGTAGAAGATTAATATAGCCATTAAAATAATTTTTAAAATCACCTCCATTGATTATGTGTTCTAAACTGCCCTCCAAGGATGGATTAGTGAATTTGAAGATAGTGCTGACAAACTCACTCAGAACTGAGCAGATGGAGACAAATATTATGGTTTTTAAAAACTTAAAGACTTGAAGAAATCAAGGAACTTCAGTGGGAGCCTTGACAAGGGACTAGCAGAGATGCAACAGCTGAAGAACTTTTTTTTTCTAAAATTGAAGAAATATCTAAATCCTCAAATCAAAACTACATTCTATGTACTGAGCAAGATAAAAAAAAATAAGTCCACATATAGATCAGAGTAATGGATCTGAGAAGAATCAAGTATAAAGACAATCCCTTAAAAGCCATCAAGTAGAACGAACAGCTCACCTGCAAAGGGAACAATAATTCCTGCCATTCAACGGTAGATGCCAAAGGACAGAGAAACATCTGTCACTCTACATTGTTACATGCAGCTAAACTAATATTTGAAAGTGGGGGAAGAATAAAGTTAATAAGAATATAATTATATTATGAAAATAATATAATAAAGTTAATAAAGTACCCAGAATGTACCCTTTATAGATCTTCATTAAAGGAAATTACTAAAAATTGCACCAGTAAGAAGAAATACAATTCAGAATGCATTCATTTTTGTGTGCTCTCAAGGAAACATGGAACAAAATATCTGGCACAAAAATTAATAAAAAAATTTGTCAGTGTATTATAGTGTTATAGTTAAAGCTTCATCCCAGAGTTTCATAAACTGACTTCCAGACCACTCACGTATAATCAAATCAAGCCTTTATTGAAGCACGCCGTGACTGGCGTCGTGACTGACCAGAACATAAAGCTGTTCCCCTGATCAGCCCCAAACAATTGCAAGGGCGATCCTTATAAGCCTGAAAACCGCAAAAGGGATGTTCGGGGGGTCTAGCCAATGCAAGCAAGCCAGGTTACAGAAGCGGAACAGTGCAGTCAAGCGGAGGGAAGCCTAACCAATCACAGTTAGCCCAGTCACCCCAGTTACAGAAACAGAGCCCCATTACCCTAGTTACAGAAACAATGCCCCATTAGGTAGTTACGTGTTCTTAAAGGTTTCTATAGCAAAAGGAATAGAACATCTTGCCCCAGTCATGACCCTTCTACTTGGCATGGTTGTTTTACAGGATGAAGTCATAAAACAAAATGGAGTCACATTTGCTTCTACTATCACAATAGTTCTTGACTCTTTAAAGTTGCCTTTTGCATTAAAAAATTAAAAAGGTAGAAGTTACTTGGGTTAGTTTTTCCCTCTCTTCTTCAGTGTGGCTATTATTCATCTGAAACACAGGTTAATTTGCTTTAATTTGAATGCCTTTTAAAATGTATTTGTTTATTTGCTTTGAATATGTGAAAACTTAACATGGCTCTCCAATTCAGAATTAGTCAAAAAGGTTTACTTAAAGAAGTGTCCTCTCCCCCATTCCCTCTACCCAGTTCTTGGTCACTCATCTTTTCCTTGTAGGAAACTCATCTCGTAGGTCACTCATCTTTTCCTCATTGACTTCCATCCCCTTCCTGTGTTTCTTTCTACACATATGATCAGATACAGATTCATAAAGGTAGTTTGGTTGAGGTCACCTCAATCCATTGTTTGTTTGAATGATTTGTAATCTCAGAGGGAGCAGTTTGAAATCTCCCTCTTCTCTTTCTCATTTATTCATTGTGGATAGGTTGTTTATTTTGCACATTTGCCTATCCAGACCTCAAAAGTATTCAAGTGCATTTACCAATGGGAGTGGGAGGAGGGGTAGCAGGACTCTTATCCACTTAGAATATGAATATGGCCTTGGGCTAGACTGGTATAATGGAACCTTCAAAATGATGGGTAGTGGGCCTTCATTTAGATGATAGCAACTGAGGTGACCCTCCTTAAATAAAAGTGATTCAAAGCTAACCGATGTCTATTGCTGAACCAGCCCCAATGACATGGTATTCCTTGCTGTGGGTGAACCTTTCATTCCATATGGTCAAGGAAAGATATTTTTAAGCACCAGTTATTGTGGCACATTTCCATAGTCCCAGCTACTTTAGAGGTTAAGGCATGAGGATTACAAGTTCAAGGCCAAACTGGAAAACTTGGTGAAACCCGTTTTAAACTTTTTTTAAAAAAAAAAAAAAAAAAAGGAAAGAGATTTTTGAATGGAGATTCTATAATCCTCCATATAAACTCTGCTTCTTAGCCTTATATTAGCCTCAAATTTGGGGAAACCCCCTCCACACTTCTCATATCTTCATCTAAGCTTGAAAGCTACAAAAAAAAAAAAAAAAAAGTCAAGGAAGACAGTTTTAGTAGTTTGATCAAGATCTTCCTCAACATGGACATGATCAATCAGTATTCAATGGCTGTGATTCTGCAATGAATCAGACAAGACAAGATCCTGGTCTATTACCAGCCTTTCATTCTTGTTCAGACACCCCCTGAGGAATTAAACATTCTCTAGACAATATAAACTAAGAAATAGTCTCAACATACTTTCTTTCTGAGGGTTCACTTACCAAACAACCAGCCAATTAAATAAATGTGCATTTCTCTTTCAGGGAATAGAAATGGAAGCTCAATTGACTGAGCCACAGGAATGAAACACAGAAAGGGAACATGCTGTTATATTTTAACTAGTATGTAAAGAAGACTTATGCAATCAGCTCTCAGAGCCCTTCTTCCAGAGAATTCTGTTGTACAGCAAATCTCTGTGGGGATGAAGCCTCATTGCCTTGGCCTGCTCATAGCTGTCGTCCTCCTCTGTAAGCAGCATGGCTTTGCCTTTCAAAGGTAACTCACTAGATCCCTACACGGTGTGGGGCTGTTTTCCTTGCTTTATTTTCTCTCATTGAATGGAGTCAGGGTAGGGGTTTGGGGAACAAATTGTGAAAGCTTGAAGGCCAGCTCTTTTGGACAATTTTCAAGTTGTCCTGACAAAGGAGTGGATGTCAATACAATGAGCTATCATTAGAGATAGTGTCTTTTTGCTTTTCTGGATCTACTTTTATTACAGGAGAATCCTGAATGATAGCATATTCAGTGTCTATGAATAATAATAACATGGGATCTTTTATAAAGGCATTTATTTGTATCCTAACTAAGAGATCACATGATTTATATTTTCCCTGTCTCTGTGTATAGATTTAACTAAAGATCATTTGTTTTTCTCTTGTCCATAAGATGGAGAAGAGGGTAAAGTCATTAAGTAAAAGATTTGGATCATGCTTGGAATATGAAAGGAAAAAGAGCTATGTTTTAAAGAACACATACATGAATACATCTAATTCTTATTTTTGACTAGTAGAATGATTCCCTTAGATATTCTATTATAAACTACTTAGAAGAACACAAATGAACTCATGCTAGAGCCTACATAATACATGGAGTGAATAGTTCCAGGGTAGATGTATTATTGGAATTTACCAACTAGTCAATTCTTATACTTTTTAAAATTAATATTGCTGCTTCCTTTGGTACTGTCTTATTTTTTTCTTTTCTTTCTTTTTTCCTTCTATGATTTTTTTTTTCTTTTCTAATTATCTCCCTCTCCTCATTTTTGTGAACAGCAAAGACAGAAGGAATGTATAACAAAAGAACATATCAGAAAGCAGGGAAAATTCTACCAGACACCCTTTTCTGAATAAATAAGCATAGAACAATAGTTCAGAGAATAGAGCTTAGAGCATGGGCCCAAGCTGTGCCTATATATGATTACTGAAGAGTTGATAGATTCATTTTTGTTCAATGTAATTGTTGAATATCAAGTAAATTGTGAAATAGTGTTTGTTACTGAACTGATATGGGAGTCAGAATTGCTAGAATAATTGGTGACTTGTCTCTGTATTTTACCAATATATCAGATGACTGTGATTTCTAAGGTCTTTGCTAGCTTTAATAGCCTATAAGTTGATGATTGACTTTAATTAAGGGGAAAAAAAGAGGAAGGAAAGAAAATCGATTATATCACGTCCAACTTGGTTAATGTCGACAGTGACAGTATCATTGACAGTGAGCAGAAAGGAAGGAAAACTATGGTTATTTAGCACCTAGGTTTTTATTTGTTCTGGACACTGAGCAGTGTTACCTGTTTAATTGCTTACAACCCTACCCCCTAGGATTTTTTTTTCTTTTTTCTGAGACAGGATCTTGTTATGTTGCATAGACTGACCCTGAACTCCTGGACTCAAGAGAGCCTCCTGCCTATAGTGCTGGAACCACAGGTGTACGCCACCACACCAGGCACACACTAGTCATGTTTATGGATATTTAATAGGGAGAAGAAATTGGGCTCCAGAAGAAAGAATAAATCATAAGAGCAAACAATAAGTGTAGAGCTTAGACTGGTTAGAAATCCAAACTTCAGCCTTGTTTCAATCCTATACTGCATAGCATGACTTCTAAGGAATCTAGAAATTAGGAGCCAGTTTGAAGGGAAGTCAGCTTTAGTCACAGTGAATTTAAGAAGATAGTCCATTGGGAAAATAGCCTGGAAGAGAGGCAGGGGCTGGAAGTCCTCTCCTACTGGCAGGTGTACATATGGCCTCAGAACCAGCACAATATAACTATCCTCGGAGCTGCCTGTAGCAGACCATGGGATCTTGGTACTCATGCTCACATCTAGGCCGCCATATATTTTTTTTTTAAAATAAGGTCTGAGTAGGTTGCCCAGGCTGACCCTGAACTCCTGGGCTGGATGGATCCTCCCAACGCAGCCTCCTAAGCAGCTGGGATCACAGGTGCACACCCCCTGACTTCAGGCCGCCATCTTGATTCTATAATGAACTAAACTCCTGGGTAAGATAACACATTGCAAGACCCACCAAAGGTTTTACCACATGTCTTCAAAATAAGTAAGTACATAGTGCTTTAGTGGGACTAAGCATAATGGAAGTGAAGGAGAAAATAATGAAAAAAATGAGTGAAAAAAACTCTTCATGCATGGTTTTCCTATTTTTTGCTTCAGCACGTACTCAGAAAACTGACAATTATGCTTAAAGAGAAGAATAAAATATAATCAACCAAATAATATCCCATTGAAAATATTCAATACTTTTTGCATACTTTGGGGGTCCCTGTGGAGTGAGGGTGGGGGCCGGGGAGAGCTGGCAGAGGCATAACTGAATCCTGGTTCCAATCCCATCACTAAAAATAACACGGCAAACTCATCTCTCTGTGAGTAAAAATAATTTTTTTTTAAACCAACTGTTTCTGAGCTTTTCTAGGAATGGGCTATTACTAAAGCTAAAAGGGAAATCTAATTTCATTCAGAGCAACAGCCTTTGATAAATTATTTCTGGGGGCAAGAATATAAACCCTTCTAAAAAGAACTAATGGTCTGGCTTTTTCCTAAACTGTCTTTGTTATTGTCTTTTTGTTGTGATCATTTTCCTAATAACAGTTTATATTCAAGTAATCTCTTAGTGGCTGATTTGTGGATGCATTTTGATAAATCTCATCAGTGAAATGCCCTGGAACAATGACAACAAAAAAATTTAAAGGCATAAATACCATATGCCAAAGACAAAAGCAGCCAAAAAAAAAAAAAAAAAAAAACCCTCACATATCTCCATATTCACTTGATTTTAAAGGCCAAATGCTATAAAGAATAAAAATAAAATACTATCTAGAATCTTGTAAACAAAGTCATTAATTGTATTGTGCAGTGATTACCTAAGTGCAGCTTGTCAGCAGGGACTATTTATTTGGAAAAAAAGAAAGTGAGAAAAAGTAGGAAGGAACCGGAGAGTGGAGGAGCATTGAGGATAGAGGGTTTCTGAATTATTAATAGGCCACAGGAAATGTTCTTTCTGTTGACTTCATATACTATCTGGCTACCTGGAGACCAGTTTATTCTGTTTCATTTAGCTCCTACTGATATATTATTTTCATCTCAAAGAACAGACGACCAGTGCACCTAAAACATGGTAATGCTTATAGCAAAATTGCAGCCTTGGGCTAGGTTGCATTGTTCAGAAGCATCTCACCAGCTTCTCAAATTCAACATAATCCTTCAGAATTATGACAGGTGTGATCCTTCCCCTGTGAACCATAGTAGGGAACAGACCTTGATGAACATAATCCCATTCTTAAAGGGGAAAAGGCAGAACGTGTGGCATAGATATTAAAAACTCAGGATCTGGAGAGTGGAACCTCAGTTCTGCTAAACAGCTTTGGACAATTTATTCATTCTCTTTAAGCATCACTTTGCTTTTTTAAAAAAATTTTTAAGTGACCTGTTATTCCTTTGCAGTTGCACTTTTTATTCTATTTTTTGGTACAAGAAATTTTTTTTCTCAAATGGTTATTGTATAAACACTATAACTGTATTATTTCAGGGATGAAATAAAAATCCATCTTTACTTTTCACCTCTCACTGCTTCACTGACATTTTATGTAGTGGGATTATCTTTCTCTGCTGGTGCTCCCACTCCCAACCCATACTAAGGATTGAACCCAGGACTTTGCACGTGCTGGGTAAATACCACTGAGCTACATCTCTAGCCCTCTATTTTATTTTGAGACAGGGTCTTCCTAGGTTGCCCAGGCTGGCTCCAAATTTGCAGTCCTTCTGCCTCAGCCTCCCTAGTAGCTGGCATTACTGGTGAGTACAGGCCTGTGTCACTACACCCTACCTCCCTGCTCTTGCATGGAAAACTTCATGGCTTCTCAGTTCACTTCTTAGTAACTGACAGTCTTTGGGTCATGTTAAAATATGAACAGGAGCAGTGGCACACACCTGTAATCCCAGCAGCTTGGGAGGCTGAGAAAGGAGGATTGAGAGTTCAAAGCCAGCCTTAGCAATGTAGTGAGGCCCTAAGCAATTCAGCAAGACCCTGTCCCTAAATAAATATATATTTAAAACAATCCCCAGTATCTAAAAAGAAAGAAAGAAAAGAAAACAGCCTCAATTTCAAAATTAGAGTATCAAGTCCTATTAGGTATTATTCAGATATCTCAATCTTTATTGTTAAAAGAAAAACTTTTAGCTGAATTAAATTTAACAGTGTTTAATTAAGCAAAGAATGATTTGGAAATTGGGCAACCCTCAGAATCAGAAAAGATGCAGAGAGCTACATTCATTTATGTTCGGAAAACAGAAGAGAAGTACAGAAACAGCTTGAATGGTTATTTTTGGTGTTTGCCTTATTTGGACATGTTTGGATCAGATAGCTAAAACTCAACTGCTTTGATTGGCTCAGACACAGCCAGATGTTAAAAAAAAATAAAACAGGGCTGGGGTTGTGGCTCAGTGGTAGAGCGCTCACCTAGCATGTGTGAGGCCCTGGGTTCAATCCTCAGCACCACATAAAGATAAATAAATAAAGGTACATCTACAACTAAAAAATATTTTTAAAAAATAAGTAAATAAAACAAACAAATAAACAAAACATACCTAAATGAGGCTTTCAGTTTGTTTTCCTTCTAAATTAGGTTGTACTTCCTTGTTAGGGAGGTCAGAGGCATTCCTCAGGTCAAATTTAGCATAATTTAATTTTATAGGAAAATAACCCTTCATTTCTTCACCCCTGACTCTTTTGGAGACCCCTCCCACCCTTGTTCAGGAATTCTCTGGATCAGAACTGATCCATCTTTT